CTCGGGGCGGCTTACAACACAATAAGATACATTGAAATACAATAGAACATAATAAATTACCAATAAATACAAAAATACAAAAATACACTGAGATACAATAATATAAAATTAAAATTAACAGTATAAAATAAGTAAATAAATATAGGAGGAGGAAAGAGAAGGGAGAAGAAGTTGCCCTGGCCAGATCATATATTTTAACAATTAAAATGATGTTTAAATAAAAAGGTCTTTACCTGGCGCTGAAAAACCAGTAACGACGGCGCCAGGCGGACCTCTTTGGGGAGTGAATTCCATAGGTTGGGCGCCACCGCAGAGAAAGCCCTCCTCTGAGTACCTACCCTCCTAATTTCTTTCACGGAGGGTTCCCGGAGAAGGGCCTCTCCCGCTGATCTCAAGGGGCGGGCGGGCATATATGGACGTAAGCGCTCCTTCAGGTAACCAGGACCCAAGCCGTTTAGGGCTTTATAGGTCATCACCAACACCTTGAATTGGGCCCGGACTTCAATGGGAAGCCAGTGAAGCTGACGGAGGACTGGAGTCATGTGAGCATAACGCATCTTTTATGCATGTTTAGACAGCAATCAAGTCCTACAACTTTTTGTGGGGTTCTTTTGCTGGGAGTTGTAGGACTTTCTTTCTGTCCAAATAACCACAGGATTGCACCCTTATTTTATCAAAATATTTACATTCTGCCTTAGGTGCCAAAGCACTTGAAGCAGCTCATACAACGTAAGAACTGCAGACATATCAGGACGAAGTTCAATAATAAAGTGGCAACACCGTCAGTAGCCACCCCACACATCTGAGCTTCCTATTTTAATGTCACTTCTCCACACTTCCTGTGCTTTGCATGCGAGGTCCCATAATCCAGGGATGCTGACCTTTCAGCCAGTCTTCCCTTTGGAGCAGTGAACTGGCTCTAAAGCAAAACAGGCAGGGCCAAAATTCAAACAAAATTATTCTATTTTCAACTAAAGTTCTTCCGCCAGTAGCCAAGCCTTCAGAGAAACATGTTGGCCCTTCAGACTGGGAGGAACAACTGCTCCAAAGCCAGGCAAACCCCCCAAATGAGCCCCAGTGGAGGAAGGAGGAGAGGAGGGAGGTGGCCACCTGAGAAAGTTGAAAGGACCCCAGGAGGGCTGAATTTGCCCGTTTTAAGAGGCGGCCCACTGGAACCCCCAGTCTCTGGGAGATTGGTCCAGGAACACCCTGAATTAGTGGGCTTTTTGCCCTCCTGCTGGAGGGTCCCAGTTTGGGAAGGCTGCCTTGCCTTAGTAGCCGGTCCTGGGGACCCCATTGCCCACAAAGCTCACTCCCAGCCCTACAAATGCATGGGATCTCTTTCCCTGCAGATGCCAGACGTGTCACTGGAAAGCAGTGGGGCAACCCACCCGCAGTGGGGCAACTGGGGGCAGCCTCTCCCCCCACAGCCGTGCAAGACACTTGCATTTTCACCAGGAGTCGCCCACGAGGGTCTCAACTGCCCAATCCGGAACAAGCCACCTCCCCATCCTTTGCATTACAAAAGGGGCAGCGCGAAATGCCCAGCTGCTGGGAGAATTCTCTCCCACCCTCTACATTTTAGACTTTTAGAGTCTAAAAGTTACTCTGACGATTGCAGCTAAACTGGGGGGCGGGAGCGGCAGTGCGGGCAAGTCCTCTTGGCCCTCCGCTGATCAAACAGCCAGCCGCCACTGCTTGAACTACGCTTGCCGTCAACTCAAAAGTTGCGGGGGGGCGCTAAAAGGGTAGCAGGGCGCAGCTCGTCGGCCCGCGGGCTTCGCGAGAGAAATCGCACGTCGCGCTTTGACTTGTTTTAAGAGGAAAAGGGGGGGAATTGGGAGGGAGGGCGCCCCCCTCTGGCCACGCCCGAGCCCCACGCGTCCAGCGGGCGGCCCGCTGGAGGGGCCGCTGCGCCCCACGTGCCCCGGCCGGGCGGCGTGACGTCAGGGCGTTGCATCGCCGCCGCGGGGCGCCATTCACTAAACGCGGGCGGCGCGGGGGGGGCGGTGCCTCCCCGGGCGGGCGAGGCTGCCCCGCCCCGCCCCCCCCGGGCCCGCCCCGCGTTGTGTAAGCGGGCCCGGCGAGCGGCGGAGAAGGCCCGGCGCCCGGTGAGTGGCTCGCTGGCTCGCTGGCGCAGCGGCGGCCGGGCTGCCCCGGGGCTACCTTGCGGGGCTGTTGTGCGAGGGGAGGGGCGGGGAGGCGGCAAGGCCGGCTTTCCCCCACCGGGTCGACGAGCGCCTGGCAGGAAAGCGCGGGGAGGCGGGACGCGGAGGGCCGGGGAAGGGAGGGCCGTGGCCCGCATGGCGGGCGGCGAGCGGGTGCACGGAAGGGGCTGAGCCGTGCAGCGCGCTTGCCCGAGACGGCGTGGCCCCCCGTGCGGAGGGTTTGGGAAGGGCGGGCGCATTCCTGGAGAAGGCTGTCGTGGCTGCTAGTCCTCATGGTTCCGTGCCGCCTCTGTGCACCAGTTGCTGTGGCACATGGGCAAGAGGGTGCTGTTGCACGCCTGCGTGCCTGCTTGGAGGTTCCCATTTGGGCAGCCGGCTGGCCCGTGTTCCCCCGTGTGGGCGATACTGCAGTGCACCTCCCATCATCCCCAGCCCGTGTTGGCTGAAGGGCCTGGATTCCATCCCTGGCATCTCCAGGTGAGCCAGCAAAGCTCCCTCCTGAGGCCCTGGGTGTCCTTGGCTGTCTTCCAGGATCAAGTTGCATGTTTTCAGCATCCGGAGAGGCTGAGACTTTTCTTCCTCCTGAAACCCCAGCGCCTTTGCTGGCGGGGGTTCAGGGCTCAGCTGCTCTCAGGAACTGTGCCAGCTGCCACACACGGGGGCACTTGGAGGGTGGCAGCCCGAAGATGGAGCAGAGATGTCCTTTGATCCCAGGAGCAACCATCCTTTGGAGGACCCTGGACTCAAAGCTCCCCACAGCTGCCACCTTTCCAAACTCTGCTCTGCATGAAAGAGGACGATCCAGGGACCGGGCATGCCGCTCTTGGCCCACCATCTTACGGCCCCGTAGCCCGTTGCTGGCAGAGCATTCCTGCTCCCCTCTTGCATCAGAACATGTCCTGCTCTCTTTCTCCCCACCAAAAACATGAACCAGGCAAGAGGCATGACTCAGATACTTCAGTGCATGTGGTTAGGTAACCTAATTGTGCATTCCAGGACTTGCTTTGAATTTCAGGACTCCGCCCAGGAGCACGTGAAATAATAGCAAAGGCAGAAGTGCCTCAGGGCATGTGCAGAGTGCCTTTCTCTTACAACAGGCTCTCTGTTAAATATCAGTCAATGTTCTTGATTTAATCAGTTAAAAAGTAGGCAGTCAGTTGTACATTTTGTATCTGTTGATTAATAATTAGCAAACATTTCCTTATAGCAAGTGCCTTAGAAAAAATGTTGCGAGCTTAATGTTACATTCTTCCCTTGATCCTAAGGCTAATAACTGTGCTTTACTGAATGGAACCTCCATGTGCCAGGGCAGGATATCTCTGAATAACAAATCCGGTGGACAAATCCTTGTTTAAAATATGTCTTCCACAGGGCACGACCGAGTGCAACAGTTAAGTGCATGATAAAACCGGGAGCACTATTAAAAAGAGTAAAAGCACAAAAGCAGCCAGTAACATCCAGCAATTGCCAGCATAAAATAAAACTTAACAGCAGGGAACTGTAGCCATGACCTGGTCCAATAAAACCAGAGTCGAGGAATAAATCTTCAAGACTCTCTTGAGAGCCTGCAGTCAGGGGCCAGGTAGACACCCCCCCACCCTCTGCAAAGATGCCAGAGATGTGGGGCTCAGAAACAGACAGGTGACTGCAGTGTAGGGCCAAATCACCTCACCTGATCAGCACCTGGCATTCTGTCCCAGCTGCAGTTTCTGCTCCACAGACTGCTATGGGGCAGGCTGTCACCTCCGTGCCCTACTTGTGGGTTTCTCTTTTTTTTTTTTTTAATAAATTTTATTAAAACTTTTAAACACTAAAAACATCAATCATCAACTACAAGTACATCAGACGTACTGGGTCAGCCCCCAACTCTTTTTTTTTTACATTCCATAGTCATATTCAAATTACGCAAAGTCCAGTTTCTCTAGCCAATAATAAAAAGAGTTCCAAGTTTGGTAGAAATATGTATCTTTCTCCTTCAGAGATAAAGTCAGTCTGTCCATTTCTGCACAGTCCAAAATCTTTTTTAAGATCAGTTCATCAGTAGGTGGCTCTTCACTCCTCCAGTGTTGGGCAAATACAGTCCTCACCGCAGTAATTACATGTAGAATCAGGTATATTGCTTGTTTATCAAGATCATCAGATATAATGCCTAATGGAAAAACTTCAGGTTTAAATATTAAAGGTTTTTGTAACATTTTTTCAAGCCATTTATGTATTTTAACCCAGTATTTTTTTTTGCCTTATCACAAGTCCACTTGTGGGTTTGCCAAGGGGCATCCGGTGGGCCTTGGTCGAGAAGGGTCAGCCAGCCAAGCGCTGAGAGGGGGGCAGGCCCAGTGGCCTTCCAGCCCCTCCCAACCCGGCTATCCTCTGATTCCTCGAGCAGAGCTGTGCGTTTATGACGCTCAACATCGCACTTCGCGGTGAACTCTTAAAAGCATTTACAGGAATAACAAAGCCTTATTAAAACACAGTAAATATTTATTTATTTTTCAATTTATATCCTGTCTTTTTCCTACAAAGGGCTCAAGGCAGCATGCATAGTTCTCCTCCGTCTTATCCCCACAACAACAACCCTGTGGGGTAGGTTGGGCTGAGAGTCTGCAACTGGCCCAAAGCCACCCAGTTGGCTCCATGGCCGAGCGGGGACTCGAACCCGGATCGCCTGAGTCCCAGTCCCGTGCTCTTAACCACTGTGCCACACTGGCCCTCCAGAAAATGATGGCATCTTGCATCGATTCCTTCCAGGCCGCTTGCTGGAGGTTGGCCAGCTCTGTGCGTCCCATCGGGGGCCTGTGGGGACCGTGGTCCGTCCCCGGAGCAGTGTGGGCCATGCCGCAGAAGAGGCAGAAGCAGAAGCGTCCCACCTCGGCAGAGGCTGAAGACAACGTGGTGGAAGACGGAGCAGTGGCAGATGGGCTGGGAAGCCCTGGGAGAGCGGAGGTGGCGGGAGCGCTCCAGGGAGCGAAAAGGAAGAAGGTGGAAGGGGATGCCGGAAGCGGAGGAGCCGGGGGCTTGGCGGAGACGGTGCGGCAGAGCCGCCTGAAAACGGCCCCTTCTGTGGCGGAGTTCAAGTATAACAAGAAGCGGGTCCGCCTGATCTCGGAGAACCCGGATCTCAAGGAAGGCACCCGGGGCATCGTGTACTGGATGTCGCGAGATCAGAGGGTGCAAGGTGACGGCCGAGCCGCGGGCTGGGTGCGGTCCCTCGGGGCGCCTTTGGGAAGAGGGCCTGCGGAACTCCCCGGCACTTGTTCTTGTCCCACAATTACATAGAATGCAAAACCAGGAAATGTAGCAATGTTAAACCGAAATCCTGAGGCCCATTGCAAAGAGCACGGTATATTCTAGCAACGCCTGGCAGTAGAAGAAAGACAAAAGCGTTGGTACCAGGCAGACCTTGGTGCCGAGATTATTCCACCACTGGGGCCAGCACCAGTGGGGCTTTCTCCCTCGTTGCCACCTTCTGAGCATGTCCAGGTGGGACTCGTAGTCCTACACAACTAGGAAGGCACCGGTGGAGTTGACTGCGCTTAGCATTAGCCTCCCTTAGAAAATGTAGTTGATAATGTGTGCAAGTTTTCATTGATGTATTGAATGAATGCATTCTGCATAAATGAGAGATGCAGATGAGTAATGATGATCGCATAAATGATTGCAAAGGAGAAATCACAGTAATCCTAAATGAATCCTAAATAATCCTAAAGCACTCTCTTTCTTTGATTGATGCACACATTAAAAGAGGCATTTTGTATATATGACCAAGGTGGGGGAATGCATGATGTACTCTGTCATCTGGAGGTGTTCATATTATTATTAGTAATAATATAATAGATTTTCATGTAGGAAGTGCCATCTCAGTTCATTGGAGGGCACCTTTAAAAACTTTTACATCTAAGCTAACCTATTGACCGACTTTGCAAGCCAAACCCCTTGCCACACAGTCTACAGCATGGGAACAATGATTCTGGCCTACCTTACAGGGTTCTTACTTGTGACCCTAAGATGCAACTGGACTGTTTCGATCGACTAAGTGTGACTGCTGGGAAGGAGGAGGATGTTTCTTGCCGCCAGTCTTGCTCATCCAAGTTCAGGGCCTGCAAGGGGAGATTTCTTTGGCTTGGGGTGGTCGGGCCAGGTCAGCCAGCCCCACCCTGCTGCCCCCCAGATCCAGATGTGTTGGGCTGCAGTGCCTGTCAGTCCCAGGCGGCAGGGCAGTGGACACCAACTGGGGTGAGGGGGGTTGCGGTCCGGGGAGCTTTGTTGGGCGGCTGTGGGCCCCCATATGCCCACCCCGACAGCCGCAGGGTTGCTGCCTTGCCGGAAGGCCGGGTTAATTGCTGCCGGAGGGCCGGAATTCAGACTCGCGGAGGCCGGGTAGCCGAACCCCTTTGGGCCTTCCCTTCACCCGCTGCCTCTTGCCTGATCGCGGCCTGCTGGTTTCCCTTTGCAGATAACTGGGCCTTCCTCTACGCCCAGCGCCTGGCCTTGAAGCAGAAGCTCCCGCTCCACGTCTGCTTCTGCTTGGTGCCCAAGTTCCTGGAAGCCACCATCCGCCATTTTGGCTTCATGCTTCAAGGCCTGAAGGAAGTGGCCGAGGTACCGGCATGGAATGGGGCGGGCGGGGAGTGTGGGGAGAGGGGATTCACAGGGTGAAAGTGGACCTACTGTGCAAATTGTGGAATGACCCTATTGATTCATAAGGTCGATAGCCCAAGCGGCAAATTGAAGCTCCTCTGGGCCCAAAGCAGCTGGGGACGAAGGAGGCTTCTCACCGTGACTCTCTGTGAGTCCCTGTTCTGGCTTTGTCTCCTTGTGGGAGAAGGGAGTTCTGCCAGCCGCCAGCCTCAGGAGCAGCCGTGAGCCAGCCACCCCGGGGCAGCAAAGCTCCAAGTGAGGGTGCCTGTTGTGTGTCTGGATGAGTCAGTGCCCTGGGCTTTCCTCCTTCCAATTTGGGAGGCCTGCTCCTAAGAGATGAGTAGAGGCACGAGGGCTGGGCCTCCTTGAGGGCAGCTGATTCTTGCACATGCTGCCAGGAGAACTTTCTGGCACGGATGGAGAACCTCTTTCCACCTAAGGACCGAAGCCCATTTTGGAAGAAGAGGCCGAGAAACGGGGGTTCTGTGCCTTTCCTTTACACAGTGTTGAATAGAGTGAGAATTTAAAAACAGAAGGGGGAAAGATGCTCTAGTTGGCTTCAGTCCAGGACAGGTAGGCAAGTGACTGTCGCAGTGGGACGGACCGGAAGGGAGGTATCAATACCCGAACAGCAGCCATGATAGCCAGTATTTATTTATTTATTTATTTATTTAGAAAATTTCTAGGCCACCCCATTCGCTGAAGCCTCGGGGCGGCTTACAAATAAATTAATTAAAATACATAAATAGCAATATAAAATACATGTAACAGTATAAAGTCTTAGCAAAGGTGGCATTCCGGCACAGAGCCAAACCATCCTCTTCCCGTATCCCATTCCTGCTCCTCAGGAGTGCCAAGAGCTCAGCATTCCCTTCCACCTGCTCACCGGCTTCGCCAAGGACACCCTTCCCCGCTTTGTGACGCAGCACGGCATTGGGGGGGTGGTGACGGACTTTGCCCCTCTCCGCGTTCCCCTGCAGTGGGTGCAGGACGTCCGGGACCGGCTTCCGCCCGACGTGCCGTTTGTCCAGGTGGGTCAACTGGGGAGCATCCCGGGGGGGGGGGGGTGTAGCAGGTGATCACTGCAGGGTGGAGGGTCTGAACGGACATGATGGTTCACATCCATCTTTTTCTGGCGAAACGCATTTGGCCACCACCCCTGAATTTCCAAATAAAGATCATTTGTGTATATATATATTTATTTGATTCTATCCCACTTTTTTCCTTTTTCAAGAATTCAAAGTGACTTGCATCATTCTCCTTCTGCTCCCGTAACATCCCCATAACAACAACCCTGTGAGGCAGGTTGGGCTGAGAGTGTGCCTGGCCCAAAGTCACCTACTTGGCTCCATGGTCGAGCCGGGACTGGAACCCAGATCACCTAAGGCCCAGCCCTGTGCTCTTAACCACCACACCGGCTGTCTGTTTACTACACACTCCGTTTATCTTCAGGCCTTTGGGGGAACTTCATATGCCCCTACCCCATTTTCTTGGGCATCAATTCACATTGCCAAAAAAACTTCTTGTTTCCGTGGTCTTCAGTGTGACCCGCAGCCTCTTGTAGCTTGCTTCGCTCTTTTTTACAAAATGCCAGTGCTCAGATGCCCCAGTGAACTGGTGCTGCCAGACTCTGGGTATTTTTTCTGGCAGGAATGAGGCTTCAGCCTGGTTCCAGTGCCAGCAATCGGCCTGCTTGCACACCTCAAGCTGCTTCCCTGCATCGTGGGTCGAGCGCCCCCCTCACCCACTGCTGCAGCTGAATTTCACTCCTGCGTTTGCAGCTGGCCAGCAACACACAGGAATTGGGCACTGGCCTTGGATGCGCGAGCGAGCTGAGAAAGAGAAGGTGTTGCACTGCAGGAGCAAAAGAAAATAGGAACGTCCCGGTGGATCGCTCCGCAGCTTGGACATCCTGGCCTCTGATGGCAGAGTCTTCTCTGGAAAAGTCCAAAGAATTGACCTTGACCTTCCACAGTTGCATTTTAATTGACTTTCCCCCCGTTTTTTCTCCCCAGGTTGATGCCCACAATATTGTTCCCTGCTGGGTTGCCTCTGATAAACAGGAATACGGGGCGAGGACGATTCGCCGGAAGATTCACGACCATCTTGCAGAGTTTCTTACCGAGTTTCCGCCTGTTGTCAGGCACCCGTTCCCTGCTGGGTTCCAGGCAGAGGTAACCAGCGGTTTGGGGGTCGAGAAGGGTGGATCTTCGGTCTTTGGCAACCTTTGGCCCACAGCTGCAGTAGTTCTGGGGGGCTCCTCTGGCTGGGCAATACTGAGACTCAACCCGGCATGGACTGAGGCAGGCGCAGAGCTTAAGAATTACCTTGTCGGATCCAAGGAAAAATCTGCCTAGTCCACCATCCTGTTTCGAGGGGAGGGGGAGCAAGAAGAGGTCCACTTGGGAAACTGCCAGTCCTCCTGCTTTGCCTCATCGCCCCAGGAGGCGACGACAGCTGCAGACGGCAACCCTGGGACTGCGGAGGAGGCAGTGCGGTGCTCTCGGTATCCATTCATGGGAATGCAAGAGCGCTGCCGGACCCGACCATGGGGCCGCCGAGCAGATCCCGTGTCCGCTCTCTTCCCCAGCCTGGTGCTCTCCAGATGTGCTGGGCAGTACAGCAGTAGCTGAATTACCGGAGTTGCCGTCCTGCGCATCTGGAGGGCATCGGGTTGCGGGAGACGCGTTCTGGAAATCAACCGCAAAGGCAACTGCCTTTCCCATTGTTTGCCCCCAGCAATGTATTTAGGGCTAGACTGCATCCAAACCTGGAGGCTCCATTCGGCTAGTGTGGTGACAGCCATTGCTAAACTTGTCCTTCCCTGTGAATGGGTGCGGCCCCCTTTTATAGCCACGTACGACAACCGCTGTCGTGAAATCTTAGGTTGGCAGATCCCGGCACTCTCTCACGTCCTGCATGATGGACTTCCTTTTGCACGGTGCGCCAATGAACTTGAGGAATCATCCGCCTCAAGACGCTCCCGCGGGCCTGGGGGGTTCGGGGTTTGCAGTGATGAGGCAAGGAAGCGTCCTGCTGCCACTTGAACAAGCACGCGTTTCAGGGGCTGGCACGCTTCGGACCGAGTCTCTGGGAGCCCTTGAACCGGGCCTGGGAAGTGGGCGGGCATTTTCCATTTAAAGAGCAAAGTAGGTCCCGGATTGCCTTCCTGGCTGTCCCACAAGCCCAGGCCTCGACCGTCTCGGGGGCTGCTACTAGCTGTGGCCGGGTCCCTGCTGTGCACGCAGAAGGTCCTCCGTTCCGTCCCAGCTGCCCCTCCAAGCAGAGCAGGAAAAACTCCTGCCTGGAGGCCCAGAGAAAAGGGCCGGGCCTGGCAGTCGGTGGCGACTGCGGTGGCAAGAACAGCCGGGTTCCCTCCGTCGGAGGCATCTTCCGACGCCCCTGCAGACTCGCAGGGCATCTGTCCCGAGACGCCCGTGGCCACCGACGCTCACCCGTGCCTGTTGCCGCTCATTAGCCCATCGACTGGGAGGCCTGCCGCGCCAGCCTGGAGGTGGACCGCTCCGTGAAGGAGGTGGCGTGGGCGACGCCAGGCACGGCCGCCGGCCTGCTGGTGCTGGAGCAGTTCATCCAGGAGCGGCTGCGGTTCTTCGGCACCGACAGGAACAACCCCAACCGGGCAGCCCTGAGCAACCTCTCGCCGTGGTTCCACTTCGGTGAGTGGGGGGTGGCGTGGCCTCCCCAGGGCCTCTCCGGGGCTCTGCTTTGGACCATCTGGGGCCGGCCCATGGGTGGCTTTCTGTCTGTCGCCCCGGGATCGGGGGTCGTGGCGGCCTGCAGAAATACGGGATCCTGCAGTCTTAGCTGATGTTTGAAACTGACGGGACAGGAGGAGGAAGGCAAGATAAAGCAAGAGTAGGCAGGAATGCCCTCCGGATGTTTGATGCTGCAACCCCTCATGATTTCAGGGATCCCTGTCCTTTTGGGGTCCCTGAGCCTCATGAGGGTGCTGCGAGCACTCTCACAAAATGGCTGCCATGGAGGGCATTGCCCATTCCCGAAACGGCTGCCATGGAGGGCTTGGCTGGGCACAAAACACTCATTTCCCAGCAGGCAAGCTGGGGAGGCTGTAAGCAGAGTAACTTTCCCAGGAATCTAAGGACAAAGCTTCAGGGCAACCATTTAGGAGTGCATTTTTTTAAAAAAAGTTAAACACTAAATAAAAAAATAATAACCAGGAGGGCCAGAGTACCTGGTGGGCAGCAAGAGAGGCATCTGTGGGCACACCAGCACCCTTTCACATGATGCTGCAGATTGAGCCTGTACAGCTAATGGGAATTGTAGTCCAGAATACCCAGCACACGACCTGCCCCCGTCAGCGCAACTGGCCGCAAGGTGGTGCGCAGGTGAGTCACCTGTGGTTCTTCCCGCAGGCCAGGTCTCTGTGCAGCGTGCCATCTTGGAGGTGCGCAAGCACCGGGCCCGGTTCAAGGACTCGGTGGACAGCTTCATTGAGGAGGCCGTGGTGCGGAGGGAGCTGGCCGACAACTTCTGCTTCTACAACCAGAATTACGACCAGGTGAAAGGTAACAACTGCCGTTTGTCGTTCTGCACGGCATCCCTTCTGTAACGATCCTCATCGTGAAGAGGCCAATAGCCAAAGCATTCTGGGAAGCTCACAATGCAGCAGAACCCCCATCCCCGCCGTCTCGGTTGCTGGAGTTTCACTTAACTCCACGGCAGTCCGCATTTGCTGGGGTTTAGAGGTGCAGGACCCCCGCGAAAGTGGAAGAACTGCAAATCTCTCTAGAGAAAAAACTGTGACTATCTCTAGGGGAAAAAAACATGAATATCTATAGGGAAAAAAAACATGAATCTCTCTGCCAAAAATGTGAATATCTCTAGAGTCTTTGCACCCACCAAGAGACAAAACATGAGTGAGGCTGGCTCTTGTGGAGACCGAGTGAGGCCACCTCAAAGAGAGTCCCTAGAGATACCCACATTTTTCTAGAGGTATCCATGGCTTTCCCGTTTCATGGGGGTCCTGTGCCCCTAACCCCCATGGATGCAGTATACAGTGTTCACTACTATCTGCAGTTTCAGGCATCTGCTGGGGGGCTTTGAACCTCTGCCCCACAGATATGGGGGTCCTGCTGTATTTATTATTATGCATTTTATTTATGTACTGCCTAATGTCCTTTGAAGGCGCTCAAGGCAGCTTACAGAATTCGTTTCCTCCTCTCCATCTATCCTCACTACAGCCCTGCGAGGTAGTTAGACTGGCCCAAAGTCACCCAATTGTCTCCACAGCTGAGTGGGGACTAGAACCTGGATCGCCTGGGTCCCAGTCCCACACCATTAACCACGGAACCACACGGCTCCCAATAGTTGAGAGCAGCAGTGGGTCGTTGAAAGAAGCACGTGGGGTTGTGTCCTGCCAGCAGAATGGGAAGGGTGGCAGATCAAACTTCTGCCCCCATCCCAAACTCCATCCCCCTGGAATGTGCCTCCAAAATCTGTTCTTGGGGTGGGCAGTTTCTGTTCCTCTTAATAAGGCTTCTGCAGGAAGAACCCGCACCCCACGCCAGAATCTGCCCCCCGAGGTTGCGTGTGCTCGCGCAGGCACCTGGAGAGGCTGCTTGGGGTACTTGCGTCTGGCACCAAAGCAACTTGGGCTCTGGCAGCACTCGGGAAATCTGTCCTCTTCCACAAGAACACACACGCCGGTTTCTGGTCTAAGCGGTGCCTGCAGCTCTTGGAAAGCGCCCCTGCCTGAAAACATGTGGCACGAGCTGGAAGCTGCACCAGGTTCCAGGTGGAACCATCGTCATGATTTCTCTCCCCTCACCAGGTGCTTGACTTTTTGGACTGGTAGGATTCCGCTCCGTTTCTCTTGAGGCTTTGTCTGAGCCAGTTCCAAACTTGCGGCGCTGTCTGTCTTTTGCTCTGCCAAGGTGCCTATGACTGGGCCAAGACGACCCTGGAGCTCCACTCCAAAGACAAGCGGCCGCACCTGTACACGCTGAAGCAGCTGGAGGAGGGCAAGACGCACGACCCTCTCTGGAATGCCGCGCAGGTAGCCCGCCTGCCCTGTGGCTGGGGCTTCCCGGCCTGCCCAGCTCGTCTGTGGGGGAGTCTTCCTCAGTTGGGGCTTCTCCTCTGCCGGACGCGATGCCCTCTTTGACCTCCTCCCTGCACCCTCTGTGCTCCTCTTCTCTTTCATCAAGAGATCCCACCGGTCTCTCCATTCCACCACGTGGCCATGTGCCCCGTTGCGTCTCCCCTTCACTCGCTCACCCTGACCCTCGCAATTGGGCTTGGGGCGTCGAGCAGGAACATGGCAACACCGATACCTGTTACTCTGCAGGTATCGCCGGTGTGTTCCACCCCCTGCTGGGGTCCCTGCGCAGGGTTGGGAGGGATCCTTTTGGAATCTGGCCCCCTCGTGTCTGCAGACTTCTTCTCGTGCTTGGCCCACTTCTGCAAAGCGAGCCGAGCGAAGAGGAAGCCCACAGACGCGCGTGGACCAGCCACCAGTGCCGGCAGCCGGCCTGCTCGCTGCCACTGGGGAAGAGCGGCCTGGAAGATGTGCCTTGCGAACCTGGGCACGCCCTACAGGAACTTGAGCCCTGGACCTCTGCAAAGTGAACAGGAGACCAGGGAGTCCATTTGATTTCCACCCCAAATGGGTTCCTTGCACGCCCATAAGCATCTTCGGCTAGTAAGCTTCTCCGTGTTTATAGCCTGCTGGTCCCCTTCTGCGTTTGAGCAACCGTCTCCATTCCCTCGTGATGATTCTGCCTGAGGCAGGTGGCTCCCAGCTCCCGTCCACTTTCCCCGGGTTCAGTCTCGCAGTTGCTCCTCTCGGCAAAGCCCACTCCGTCTGCAGTGCCTTGCAGAACGACAGGTTGCCACGGCTTTGCCCGAGCGACTGCTCACGACCCTCCTCCACCTCTTGCCTCAGCTGCAGATGGTTCACGAGGGGAAGATGCATGGCTTCCTACGGATGTACTGGGCCAAGAAGATCCTGGAGTGGACCAGGTCCCCCGAGGAGGCCCTGCAGTTCTCCATCTTCCTCAACGATCGCTACGAACTGGACGGCAGGGACCCCAACGGCTATGTGGGTGAGTGCCTGGCGGGGGCCGGGAGGTCCTCTTCAGCAGGGTGGGCAGGAGGTGGATCTCCAGATGTTCTGCTAGCATGGCCCGCTGGCGAGCACCCTCTGATCTGGGGAGCCCCTTGATGGCACATGTCTTCCAGACAGGCTGGCCCCGGCCTCTCCAGCATCCCACAGCCAACATGAGGGTCCCCGGCCCTTTCCCCCTGGCAGAAGAAAGAGGGGAGGGTGGAACCTACTGCAGCCTGCTCTGGAGAAGAGCAGGTGGCTTGGGAGAAGGCAGCGAGCAGCCGTGCCCGCAGACCAGGACTGGCTGGCCGGGAGGCCCCTGATGAAAGGGCTGGAGGCTCCGGGGTCTGCAGGCGTGCGTCACGCACAGACAGAAGCCGGCTGGCCTGCCCGGAGCAGAGAGCCAGGGGATGTGCTGGCGCACTGCAGTCCAGAGGCAGTGTCTCACCGAGACACGAGCTGCACAAGCGATAGATTTACTTCCTCTCGCTTTGGGCCTGACAGGGCCCCTTGGTCCAAAACGGTGAAGAGCCAGTGGAGAAGCCAGAGCTCTTTCCCTTGTTATGATAAGTCCTCAGCAGAGTTCCTTGTTATCCCTGTGCATGTGAACGCCATCCATGTCAAGGGGGGGATTTGCGGTGGTTCTGGCAAATCGGCGTCCTGGGATTCGCAGAAAAAAGTTTGATGTGACGTGTATGGATCCAGTCTGCCTTCGTTGTGCCGCCTCTCCCTCTCTCTCTCCTTTCAAGCTCAGAAGGAAGCGTAGTTTTTTATTGAAACATGTCCAGTTATCAAACCTTATAAATCAAAAAAGCCTCCTGCCAGAGCAGCGGGAGAAGCAGCATCTGCCCATGGAACGAGTTCAACCCAAACTGAAAATTCCCCTTCCCTTTCTGCAAAGATTCTGAACCAAGCTTGCTCCTTGTGGGGTGGATGGCTGGGCCGCTGGAGACCCTGCAGTGGGGGCCACGCGCTTCTCCCGCCGCTGCCCAAGCGGATCAAGGACCGGACCTTGTGTCCACTCCTCCCTTCCGCCATGTGAGCAAGAGATGGGCCCCTCTCTAGATCCGGCTTCAGGAAAGCGGGATGCTGCCTTTCCTTTATTCATGGCCTTGCTCAGCCGCCTCGGTGCCAGCGCGCTGCAGAGCAAAAGGCGGGGGCCTTGCGCGTTCCTGACGCTTTCTGTCTTCCCCAGGCTGCATGTGGTCCATTTGTGGGATCCACGACCAAGGCTGGGCGGAGCGGCCCGTCTTTGGAAAGATCCGCTACATGAACTACGCCGGCTGCCAGAGGAAGTTTGACGTTGGCCAGTTCGAGCGCAAGTACGGACCGCACAGATTCACCCGGTAGCCTCTGTGGCACATGGGCTCGGGAAGCGCCAGGGCGTGTGAGCTTTGCAGTGGAGCCGAGGCTGCTTTTGCTTTCGTGAAGAAAACAGCCGCTGTTGCTGGAGCCTCTTCTGCCTCGGCTGATCTCCTGACCCGTCTGGGGCACCAAAGAACCCCTTTCCCACAAAGCCCGCGAGCTTCTCTGGTGGGGCAGCCCACGTTAATTCTCCGGTAGGGGAGGGAAGGAGTCAGCTGTCGGGTGGGGAAAGGCACTCAAGCCGTTTTAAGTGGCTCGGCAGGTGAACTGACAAACCTGCCCAGGGGAGCCCTACCTGTTGGCCACACTGGAGAAGCTTTCATGGGTTTAAGGAGCACAGCCTCTGCAGGGAAGCCTGGGAATCATAGTTTTGCATGGGCACTGGAGACCACCGAGGAAATCGCTTGGCTTTGCAGGCAGTGCTAGAACCTCTGTAAGGCAATTGCTGCCATGAACTCCCGTTTCCAAGACTCCCGGAGGGCAATCACCCGTCTTGATCGTTTGGAAGTGTTACTTGGACCCTGCTGAGTGACGGAAGAGGGGTGTCCCCAAAGGATAAAGGGTGATGAATGCAGTCCGGGAGCCCTGGGAAGAGACTGCTCAAGGGGCTGCTCACCCCACCTTAGTTCATAGGGGGTCAGATCAGAGGTGGGCCCCTCAAGGTGCTCGCTCCTGGTACAGGGCTGTGAAGGAACAGTATCAGCTGTGCTGGCGCTTGGGGATCAGCCCTTCTAAAACCTTTACCATTCTCGGTCCTTTAGGGAGAAGCATGACAAGTCCCTTGGATTTAGGACAATCCTAATGTTTTATTCTAGCCAGGGTTACACTCCCTGCCCCCCACTCTGCAGGATTCTGCGGGATAAGCCATGCTTCTAGCCTAAAAGGCCAAGCAGCTCCAGGCCTCTGGAAGTTATGACAGGGACCGGGACCAGAGAGGGGGGGTTGGGAGTTTTCAGGGTTGGGAGTTACACCTGGCACAAAGAAAGCAACCCTGTCGGCTGAAGCGAACCTTTGCTTGCGTTGGTGGAGGGACTGGAGTGCCCGCCTGCCACGTTGAAGCTTACGGGTACTGGGACACGCAGCCGAGATACTGCCGAAAGCCATTTTCCCTTCTTACTGTTTTTCGCATTTTGGTACTCGCACCCGTTTATGCAGCTCTAGTGTTACAGACACCACTAACCAGTGTGGAAAGATTTTCCATTTGCTTGGTGGCAGGAGCAGCAGTTGAGGAGCGACTGTTGGAGCACTGTGGCGCAAGGCATTTTCTCCGAATTCCTTTTCTTCCATAATAAATTTTTTAAAAAGTAAGTAAGACACCCAGTGGTACATTCCCACTCGAGAGAAGCGAGGCTTCAGACGACGGGCAGGGCGGCGGCTGGGTGAGATGGGCCTCCGCTGCAAGGCCAGGCATCTCGCAGGCACGCGCCCCTCGCCAGGCAGGCCCTTCCCCACCGCACAGCACCCTCCACCTGGGAAGCGCCCTCACACCTGCGCAGCTGCCGCTACCTGGACCACGGTGTGGAGGCCATCGTGAGCCAGGGAACAGGAAATTCAGCGGACGAGCCGCGTCCTGTGAAGGGGGCTATGCGCTAGGGAAAGGAGGGTTGGACCTGCAGCAGCCGCATCTGCAGTGTGTCCACTGGCCCCTCGTTATATGCCCAAGAAGCACACCTCCTGCGTCTCCTGCTTTTCAGAAGGGTCTCTTCGCTGGCTGGCCCTCCATGGGTCCCCAGGCCCAGTCTTGGAGCAGGTCTTCAGCTATTGCTGACACTGCAGGGAACCCAGGCATTTGAAGAACACTTATGTATAGCCCATTGTGGGCTGTCTGTGTGTGTGTGTGGGGGGGGGGGGCTTCTTCCATCACTCCACACACGACCACCAAGACACACACCAAAGAAACTGAAGGATCATTCCAGCACTCAACCAAATGTGAAAAACCAGAAAAGCAGACGCTTCCTTTTAAATGTATTTTATCATGGACGGCATTTCAAAGTTACGTTGTGCAATGGAACAGCAGAGGGGTATCCAGTTTCGGCGAACACTGCGACTGTTCCTTTACAAAGAGTTTTCACATACCAGCTACAGTATTTATAATTAGTAGTCATCCTGCAGGGCTGTGGCAACCAGGAATCCATCACAGCTTCACAGGTGTTGGGAAGTTCATCTTAACGCCTCCGCTGTGTGTGGCGTCCTCCCTTTGGGCTTTCCGGCCATTGCAGAAAGAGCCTTTAACACTTTCACATAAAACACAACCTCCCACACACCTGCTTGTTTCCTAAACAGAATCAGTGCTCCTAGAAAAAAGCTATCAAACAGAGGCAAAATAGAAGAAATGTCCCGGAGTGTTAAAAGTGCTTTCAAAAACAACCCCCCCCCCCCAAAAAAATATCGAGAAGTCTTACATCTGAGAGGCAGCAGACTGGAGACAATCCAATCCGTTCGAGGGCTGCTGTGTGGTCAATCTTGAATGTTTCAGGCAAAAGTCTCCGATGAGGCACAGCTGGGGTCTAAAGCACACCTGATGCGAGTCACGCATTTCAACAGGTGTGGCTAACCTGGCTGCTTTCAGGAGAGAAGTGGAAGCTGTAGGACTCCACCCTGGGTCAGGGGCATGTTCTGGAAAGGGGTCCGATTCGCCTCTTTCCCCCTCCAAAATAAAAGCTGCCAGGTTAGGTGGCGTTGTTCAAGCGCATGATGGATACAGCCTGTCGTTTGGTCCTGCAAACGGAAGAACTGTTCAGGGGTGCAAGGAAGAACTCTGCAATCTGGTTTGTCAGTTCTATGGGAGCTGCTGAAGGTTATCCAGAAAATGGAGTCCCTGGGAAGCTCTCAAAGGTTCTCTGATTAAGTCGGTCGGGAAGAGGACACAGCATGGACCATGTTGCGAAGCTCACACGCACGTTGCTAAAACAAAAATCTTGGAGATCAGGAGAAGTGTGGAAGCCAGCTTCCTTACACCTTCAGGCTAACATGCTTCGTGCTCCTTGGGAGGGGGAACAGCAACTGCGTGGGCACTGCAATGAGGGCAAAGGGTCCTCTCTCTCCGAAGGGGTGGGGTGGGGTGGGGTGGGTGGGCCATCAGGCAAAGCTGTCCCGGGGATTCCAAGCCCGCACTCTCGCGTGCCCGCTTCACCAAGTTCTGCTGCATTTCCATCCCTTCCTGCCCCATCACACAAGCAAGCAACCTGCTGCGAGTCCAGGCACCTGCCTGCGCTCTGCTCGGCTGCTCCGACTGCTCCAAGCAGCCTGTTTGGGGGACGCTTCCCCCCGGCCTGGCCCTCGAACAGGCCAAACTACCAACCAAGCCCCCACCATCCTGTACGTTTCGTTGCCAATGATATCAGTGTGTCCCTTCTAAAGCCTGGAATGAACAGCCCGCGCCATCTGCGGTACTCGGAAGGTGTCAAACCCGCAGTAGGTATTTCCACCCCATCCGAAGCCCGGCTCTGGGCCAGACGGCAAGGTGACCTTGAAGTAAGCAAACGCAGTTACGAAACAACACCAGCATCTTTCAGTGCCAATTCTAGCAGGAAGCAGGAAAGGACAGCTTTCTGACGCTCTGCAAACACGGAGTTAAAGCCACCAATCTTGTGATTTTCTTTTTTTAAAAGCAGAGGTGGGGTTAATGACTTTTGAAATAAAATTGTTTTAGTTAAAGCAAACCTTAAGATCCTGGCAAAGTCACTTTTGCCTGACAACTGTGTATCACTTTTAATCGGGGTTTAGTCACTGGATAAACCTCTGTGTGTCTGGCAGGGCAAAGAACACGATGCCGGAAATGGTTCTTAAAAAATAGTATCTTGCCATTTCTGCAGCTCGCGCAAAAGCTGCCCCCAGGAGATTCTGGGTTGCGCCACTTGACCCAGAATTCCACCCTCTCCTGGTTTAATGACATGCTGGGGACAATATGCCAAGCCACTTCTCCCTTCAGGCGATCCACTGACCCTCACGTGCTTCCACAAACCACCTGTTTCTCCATGAGCGGTTGAGGCTCACAGGTCCAAGTCTGAGCTGCCCTTGAAAGTCCGGCCACGTGGCAAGAGGGCCTTTCTCTGGCGGCACAAAGGCGAGCTCAGAAAAAGGGACACGTGCCAAGGACCACGCATTCCAACAGGCCGGTGAGGAATCCGTGGGGCACCGCCGGACCCGGCATGGAGGCAGAGCCCGCACCATCCCTGCCAGTGCAAGACTGAGGTCCTGTCAGCCTTCAGACTTTACTTCCCCCCAAACTGGGACTGCAGGAGCATAGCTGATCTAGAGACGCGTGGCTGAAGTTGTCAGTTCGCGCCATCTAGGTGTGTGTGAAGCGACTCCGGCCAAGCGCCTGTAAACGGACTGCAGCAAGGCGGGTGCGTGCTTTCCCCAGAGGCGCGACTAAGTCAGATAAGAGCACTCAAGTCAGAGACATGCCCGGAGCATGGCCCACGTGTGCGTCTTCCGCTTCTCGGCACATCTGCCGCTTCCAAAAGGAAAGGCTGAGCTTGGCCAAGGTGAAAGTGAAGCTGCTGGAACCGTCGTCCTCTGACTGATGGCGAGTATAGTAAGGAAACCGGCAGCTGGGTTTGTGGCCCAAGCAGCCACGGCAAACGGCAGGCAGGCAGAGGAGCAGTGGGATCCCTGGGGCGGGGGGGAGGATACGGCGTGTGGCTCTGTGGCACTGGGGATGCAGCCGGCCTTTCGAGGCAGCCGGAACTTGGACCTGTGAACCTCAGCTGCTCACGTCTGTGGCAGCACGTAAGGGTCGGAGGCTTGCATGCAGGACTGCCTCTGGGCTGGCCTTCCACTGGCTCCCCACTGCGGAGCAAGGGCATGCAACCTACTCGTCAAGAGCTCCGAGAAAGAGCACCCAAAAAGCAGGGAAGAAAAGCAGAAGACTCCCGCGCTGATGGACGGAGGCGGATGGGATGGCGAGCGCTTGCGTTTCCAGCGGCAAGTGAACAGGAGCCGACTAAGCGGCTCAACGGCCGAAGGCAGAGCGAGGGAGGAGGCCCGTCAGAGAACGGCTGCCTGGATGCCAGAGCGGGAGGAGGGCAGGAGAGCAAAGGGAGCTTCCGAGCCACCGCAGAGCAAAGCCGCTGCGGACGGCCTCTGAGCACGTGCGAGAGTCCCGCATCTCTGACTGCAGCGGACTCTGTGCAGTGCAGGGCTCAGCCGGCCTCTCCAGGACAGGCCCCAATTCCACAGGCCGAGAACGACCTCCGTCTCACCGTGCAAGAGTGACCGCCATGCCCCAAGCGCTCTCGCTGTCGTGCTCCCACCATGCTCCCGGACCGGTCGCCTCAAGCGGGACGAGAGCTCTGTGGCCGGCTGAAGATAGGCTGCTCCCCAGCCTCGTGACCTGCCTGACTTCCCACTTCAAACACGGTCAGTAACACGGAGTCTCCTGTGCTGCAGAAATGGAAAGGCACCTCCGGCTAGCCATGCTGGCGGGGTCCTGGGAGTCGAAGTCAAAAAGATACAGAGATGGCCCACCTGATCATCAACATCAGGAAAACCCTAGGCTCTCCTCTGTAGGTCTGAGGGACCACCCAGGGCCCTGGAAGTGGATGGCCCAACCTCAGGCAGCCGCCCGTGCTGCTGCTGCTGCTGCTGGGAACAGATGTTTCGGGCAGGTGGAAAGAAGAGGATTGGGGGAAGGAGGCAAGGAAACCGGGCCGGTGGCGCATCTCATCTGAGCGTATGTGGCGAGGGTGGAGGGAACAGACAGACCGGTTTGAGAAGGCGTAGAAAATGGAGCCGACTTGCTCGCAGGTGCAGCCCCTAACCAAGGCTTTGGCCTCCTGGCCACCCGTCCATTTCCTCCAGCACCCGCAGCAGTGCTGGCTGGGAAGGCCCGATGCCCCTCTCCTCCGGCTTCCCCACCTCATCTCGAATACCGCAGGCACAAAACAGGTTTGGAGAAGGGAACTTCAGCAGCAGAAGACGCAGAGTTATAGGCAACGGTTTTGGCAGAGGGAAAACCTCGCTGACTGCCGCCTCACGTAGCACACAGCAGTAAATACAGCAACCGAAGCCGTCCAGGGGTGGATCTCCCTCCGGGAGGGCACGGCATGCCCCCCGTGCCCAGCTTCTCCTGGTGGGGGAGGCGAGGCTGAGGCACAGCAGTCGGGGACACAAGCGAAGCGGTCCCGCTCCGCTCACGGCGGCAGCTCCGCTCAGCTTCCCACTGCGCCCGGGCATGGCAGCCGGGCCGTTCTCTCCGCAGGCCTGCAGCTCGGACGGCCAGGGCAGGGAAACCTCCTGAGCCAAGTGCGACAGACCCCTTGGGGACCGGCCATCCGCTGGGCCCACTGGCCACGGGAGAGTCTGTGCAAGTCGGCGGTCAAGTCCCTCTCTCCAGGCATAGGCCGGGCACCGAGCCAGAGCCCCTCCGCTGTCACGTGGTCGCGCCGGCTGTGGCCTCCTCCTCGTCGTCTCCCTCCTCCTGCTCCTGCTCGTAGTCTGAGATGTCCGCCGCCATGCTCTGCTTGGCCAGCAGCTCCCTCCGAGCTTGCAGCCGCTGGCACTTGGGGCAGGGCCCCGACCGGAAGCAGCCCTTGTGATAGCAGGCCCTGCACTCTGCCGGAAGGATTGAAACCGGAGCTGAGAGGTCACACGTCCCGGGGAGAGTCGGGCAAAGCGCAGCCTGCAGCGTCCCAGCTGCACCTGCCTGTCTGAACTGCGGGGGGAAGTGCTGGGAAGATGGGACAAGCCCAGGCCAGGCCAGGCCTGCAGGGTGGGGTGGAAAGGCCGTGCCAGGTGGGAGGCGCCGAGGAACCTGTCCCTTGCCCAGCTTTGTGCAGAGAGACGGCGATGGGGCCACCTCCACCCGCTCGGCTCTTTCCCTGCGGGTCAGTGCCCCTGCCCAGGAAAGAGCTTCCCCATCCTTGCTTTGGAGGCAAGGGCGAATCAGCACGTGCGCGAGGCGCCCCGGGACTGCATGGCAGGCCGCAGAACGGCTGAGCCCCAGCTTCCTCCCCATCTTTTGGGGCATGCGATGCAGCCAGCAGAGGCCATCCAAGTGGCTGGAGAAGTCTCACACAAGCACTTGCGGGAACAGGCTGCAAACCCGCCTATCGGGGAATTAAATCCACTTAACTAACAGTTTTCCCCTCTAGTGGTATCTAGACCGGGAATGCTGCACCCAGGAAAGGAGCAGGAGGCACGCGGATCCTCGTCGCTTGCCTACCTTCACACGTCCTGCACTTATTCAGCTCGAAGGGGAAGATGATGTCCTCCTCGTTCTGGCAGAACTCGCAGATGAAGCCCTTGGCCTGGCAGAGCTGCAAGGAGGGAGGCGGCGGCGGCGGCAGCGGGTGAGGGTGAGGGGGCCACACAGCTCCAGCCCCGCCTGCGCCCTGCTCCGTCCGTGGGGCCGCTTCACACGCAGCCCTTTCCCCACACATCGCACGGCGCGCCCCCCGCCGGCTGTGGTGAATGCCCTTTCCTCTGCACCGATTTCTCCCAGCCTGGCACCCTCCAGATGTGCCGGGCTGCAAGTCCGTCCTTCCCAGCCAGCATGGCCTTCTGGGAATCGCAGGCCAGCACATCTGGAGGGCGCCAGGTTGGGAAAGCCGCTGTAGGCAGAATTGAAACTCGTGTGGGGCATCGTATGCCAGGTGTTACAAAAGGAGGTGATGCGTTCATTTTTAATCTGCGCGGTCTTTCTGTCGAGACGTCCTGCCCTTCCCTGCTCAGCAAGGTGGGAGATTCCTCTCCCTGCCCATGTGCTCAGCATCCCCCTCATGTTCTTGGGCTCCCCCAACCCCTCATCTCTTTGGCCATCTCTGTCCAGGCCCCCAGGTCCCCTTACCATCCCTCCTGTTTAACTGCTCTTGGCTTCCCGTTTGTTCCACAAAGCCGGCTAGCAATCCCGAGCAAAGCACACTTCCTTCCTCGCTAACTACAGTAGTACCTCGGCTCACAAACGCCTCCGTTCACGACCAAATCGGGTCGCAAACAAAACTTTCATAAAAATTTTGACTCAGGTTGTGCACTCCGCACTGGGTGCCGACCACAACCATCTCCCCCCACCCCCGCGATTGAGATTGCGCCCGTCTTTCCTGCAGGAGTGCAACCGCAATCTCGGCCATCTCCCGCCCCAGCACAATCGCGTCTGTCTCCCCCAACAAGCGTGCCCGCCTTCGCGCCCGTCTCCCCAGTTCCTAGGAATCGAGGGCTCACAGCATTCTCAGGAGGGCAGCCATGGCAGGTAATCTTGTTCCAAAGAAGTTTGAACTTGGCTCAGTTTTATAGCCAGAGGTGCTTCTCTGCCTGACGCCTGCCAAAGTTGCAGCAATCCAACAAGGCAGTAGCCATGGCGTTCATCCGCTGCGGTTTCCATTCGCCTCTGAACTAAGACTGGGAAGAGCAAAGAGCTGCCGTCCCAGCAGGCCTCAGACAGCCAAACACACGCGCACCTGCCTGTCTGGCCCAGCAGCAGGCTTTTGCTCACAACCCGACCCAGCAGAGAAACAAAGAGCGTGCAAACGAAAAGAACAGAGACCGGGCGTGTGGCATCGGACGACTCACCATGCACTTCTCGACATGTAGCGTGCCCGCCCTGAAGAGCTCTGTCAGGCGGGGAACGAGCTCTCCCTTCTTGGTGCAGTTCAGGTCGTTCAAGGAGTAGAGGTGGAGGTCCTCCGTCAAGTGACCGGGCACGGCATCGAAGGCGTCCAGAAGCCTGCAGGGAAGGGCCACAGCGGGACTCAGCTCCGCAGCACGCCGACGAGGCTGCAGGCCGGGGCACATGGTTCCTCGCCTTCTCCAGTGACGGCTGCAGCCAGTTTAAGTGATGCAAAGCAAGGCAATCCACCCACCCGATTCCATTTCTATCCTGCCCTACAACCAAAGCTCTCTGGGTGGTTTACACAGAACAATAAACATATCCTAAAACCAGAAAAAATTAGAACATTTTAAATAGCCAAAAGCAGATACTACACACAGGCACTGACAAGGAATAAACGAGAGAGACTCTGTGCAGCACCTGGCGACCCCCTTCAGGCCCCTGGGTGGTCAAACGCGTCCTTAAAAGTCTCAGAAAAGAGGGCCTCCTTCACCTGATGCCAAAGGACAGGCTCAGTGCCCGCCAGGCCGCAGTGGGGAGCTTGTGCCACAGCTCGGGGGCCACCAGCAAGAAAGCCCTCCCCCCGCTGCCACTTTCCAAGTGTCCCATGGAGTTGGCACTGGGGGGAAGCCCCAGAGGCCGAGTGCAGTGACCAAGTAGATCGCGGTCGCAAGAGGCACTCGGGCAGGTTTGGCGGTCCCAAGGCAAGGTTTTACAGGTTAGAAGCAACACCTTGAACTGGGACCGGAAGCAGACAGGCAATCCATGTAGGTGGGCCAGAACCGGCCTTGCAGCTTTCTGTCTTACACGTTCAGACTGGCAACTCCCAGCTAGTCATCCAGCTGCCGCATTCTGCAGTAGCTGCAGCTTCTGAGCCGTCTCCAAGGGCAGCCCCACATAAAGCGCACTGCAATAATCCAGATTAGCCGAGCGCAGGTTACGGAGGCCAGGCTCTCCCCGTCCAGGCGGGGCGTAGCTGGGCCACCAGCCGAAGCTGGCAGGAGGCGCTCTGGGCCCCCAACGCCACCCGGACCTACAGTGAGAAGGATGGCTCAGGGACACCCCACAAGCCGCGGGCCTGCTCCTTCAGGGGGAGCGCGCCCCCATCCAGAACAGGCTGAACACCCCCCGTCTGGTCAAGGGAACCAGCCACTGACAGCTTCTCAGTCTCGTCTGGACAGAGAAGGCTTGCTGGCCACCGTCCAGCCCACTGTCACAGCCAGGCAGGTCCGGCACATGCTCGGCCTCACCTGCTGACGATGCAGAGGAGGAACGGAGCCGTCTGTCAAGGGCATCCCAAACCCCAGATGACCCCCCTCAGCAGTTCCGGGTAGAAGCTGAATGGCGTGGGGGACAGAACGACCCCGAGGGACCCCATGCCAGGGCTGAGCAGCATTCCCCAAGCACCGCCTTGTTCAAGAGCACCAGGCCACAGCCAGCCTGATCGCAGTGCTCTTCCGCTCCTTTCCTCTGCAGCGGCTACTCTTCCTTTATCCAGTAGCTTCTGCAACATGCTTTCTGTTTTACGGGGTTTGGTCCTAACCATCCGGTGGGGTCTGGTATTCTTCCCAACTTACACAGGGAGGCTGCATGTCGCTTGCCCCAAGTCACAAAAGCGCCACTTCAGATACGCGGTTTTTCCTGCCCTCGTTTCCACCGGCAGAGGAGGAAAGTGCACCGTGTCTGCACACGCAACCTTGTAGGTGTACACTTGGTACCAGCTGGGGCTTTCCAACCCGTGTGCATCTGACAAAACTAGACAGTGTGTGTTTAAAGTTCACACGTGGCAATGGATGCAGATCTTTCCATGCACAAGTGTACGGAAAACACACCATTCCTGCCTAGTGGAAAGGTGGGAAAGAGGTGTGATTGCTGCTTCGGATCAAAGCTCAGGATCGGGGGCGGCAGCGGCTGCTAAAAGGAACGGAGAAGCACCCCGGCCCCGCAGCACGCAAGGCGCACGCGGGGACTGACCCGCGTCCGGCGGGCAGGAGGCCCTTCCAAGTGCATGGCGCACCCCCGGCCACCCACTGCTGCTTGCAAGGGCTTAGCTTGCCCTGAATTGGGCACACGCACGCACGCACACATGGCTGTCCTGGCAGCCCCACGGCGCTTACGTTTTGGCCAGGCGGCAGGTCTTGAACATGTTCTTCATGTGGTACAGCTGAATTCTCAGCAGCTGCAAGCAACCAAGGAGACAAAAATTCCGGTTTTAGGCAGAAAGAGCACTTTCAGAAAAAGCATGTACTGATGTATCTTGCAGAATCCAAATGAACTGCCGGGCACGTGCACGGAGAGGGTCCTGTGTGAGGACTCAGGTCGCATCACTTAATAAAATGCCTGGTTTTAGAGGGAAGGGGGAAATGTACAGAAGGGGGAAGTTCAGATCCAAGAAAATGTGCATATTGCAGATTCTCACGGGTGGAGGCAGCACATTGGACAAGCCCAAGCTGTCTTCGTTTTCAGCACTTATCAATTATACACACTCTCCTCAGGGGCGTATTTGGCCTATTCATTCATTTTTCTAGTCCTGTGGAGGAGCAGAGAGTTGTGCAAGGCCCTGAAGCGCCTCGTCTAGAAAGCCGCCCCTTTCTGTTCCTTTTGCGATTTCACCAGGCATCTCCTGGCGATGTTGCAAAGCTAGAAGGATTTACAAACATGCAAAGTTCAGCGAACCTTTGATGCACCTGCACAGGCCTTGGGGCGATGGGAGCTGTACTCACACACACACGCAGGGCATCCAGCTGGCTTGCCTGCTGAATTCTGGTCTTCTTAACTGGTATTGCCTCACGGCCCCCCACTCCTGATGCAAGGAGCAGAGAGGGCTCCTGCGAACAGCTCCCTTCCCCAACGGTAGGGTTGAAGCCAAGATTTAAGGACCCCCAAAATGCAGGCACTCGGGAGATATGCCTTGAAAAGCATTTTAGGCCTAAGGGGTGTTGGGAAGACAGAGGCAGACCCGACGGAACGAACGAGACGGGCCAGACCCGAAGGCCTCCAGGCTTGGATCCAGGACGTGCAGGACTCCTCCCACTAAGCAGCGCAAAAGGGGGTTGGGGAGAGTGCAGGTTTTGGCCACACACAGCAGCAGCCACGCTGCATGTTGCCAGGTATGGACCAGGGCGAGAAGGTGCCGGGGAGTGGAGACCTGGGGAAAGCAGGACGGCCAGGCAACTGCAGCCCTTCTCGGGGGATCCGTGAATGAAGAGAGCAGTGACGCGATTGTGACGGGGATGGGAGGGATCCTACGGACGCCTGTCACTATCTCGCTCTTGTCCCAGGGCATTCTGGGTCGGGTTCGTTAGCACGGGATTCTCAGCACCCCGGCCAAGCGGCCGTTCCCGTGACAGCTTCTTCGGCAGAGCTCTTTCCAAGCCGGCCGGCGTTAAGGCCACACGCCCCTCCTCAAGATGCCTTACCCGGACTTGGTTGAGCGGCTTCACCTTGCGGTACAGGGCAGCGTTGATGTCCTGCATGTTAAAGAGCGGGTCGTTCCAGATCTTGCTGAGCAGGTCCTTGGAGAAATTGCTGATGTAGTACTTGCTGAAGTCCCACTTCCGCAGGATGCGGCTGGGGATGACCATCAGAGCGTTCTCGTGGCAGCACTGGCAGAAGTACTTGCCCAGGTACTCGCAGTAGCGCATGCGCTTGATGTAGTCTGCAGGCATAAGGGGGAAGAAATGAGGCCCGCGTCTTGCTGAGGGAGCAGGGCTGGCCCACCCACGTGGCACGCCAAGCAGCGACAGACCCTTGGCAGAGCGGCTGCTTCGGAATCCCCCTCCCCTGCAGCAGGGCCAAGGGCTGCGGCAGACCTCCAGATGTTCAGGACTTCAACTCCGTCAGCCTGGCACACCTGCCGCCTAAAGAGCCAGGGATCCAGGGAGTTGCAGTCTCAAACATCTGGAGGTCTAGGCTGTGTGCAGGCAGTCCCTGGGTTACGAACGAGTTCCATGCCTAGAAAACAGAAATTCACGTTCGAGTCAAATGTGTATGCAAGGCTGGTCACATAGAGTCGGTCCACCGTATCTGTGAGGGTTGGGGCAGCAGGACGCCGACAAGAGTGGGAAAAGGGGGGTGACGACACAAAGAAGGGCCTTTTCTACAGTGGCACCCCAACTCTAGAACAAGCTCCCCAGAGAGGTTCGCCTCGCGCCTTCTTTGCATTTGGTGCGAGTCAAAACCCTTTTTATTTTGACAAGTGTTTAATTGCTAACTGTTTTAAGCAGTATTTTAACTGTGGAGTATGCCATTAGTTCTGTGCATTTTATGTTGGCTTTAATGTTTATTATTTGAAACTTCCATTTTATACTGTATTTTATTCTGTATTTTCCTTGTTGTAACCTGCCCAGGGAGCCGTATGACTAATGGGGCAGGTTAGAAATCTAATCAATCAATCAATAATAAAAACTACAAATATCTCTAGCCCTGCTCCAACCCGCCAGTGCCTCCTCTTTCCAAAAAGGAAATACCAGAGAGATTTCCCTCTCTGGACGGGTGGGGCAGGAAGGCGTGCTTTGGAGGCCTCCCTCTCTCCCTCTCTCTCTATGGTGAGGCTGTGAAGGCTTTCTCTCCCTCCCCTCTTGTTTCCTCTCTCTCTATGGTGATGACAATTTTCCACAGTAATTTTAAAAAATGAATAGGCTTTATGGCAGTTCCTAAGTATGGGCTGTTCGTAATTCAGATGTTTGTCACTCAAGGTCTGCCTGTAAATGCATGGAAAATGTCATTAGTCCCTGCTTGCTCAAGCTCTGAAATGCTTCTAAGATAGTCACTAAATTATATTCCGCTTTCCTTTTTCAAGCAGTGGATGGCAATTTTTAAAAATACACGCACAGCATGGGGGACACCAAAATGAGGACGGCTGGATTAGACCCATACTCTTTGACTCAAAGGTCCTGAGGGAACGGTGGGTCTCTAGGACTCCTGCACGTCAGCCTCACCTGGGTCTGTCCGGATGCCGCAACCCGCACAGCGGTAGTTCTGCTTAGCCACGGCCACCTTCCTCCTGCAGCAATGCAAAATCAAGGTATCGAAAGGAAATAGATAAATAAACCGCTCACTCAAACAAGTTCCAGCCAGGAAAGAAGTGTGGGCGACCAAGGAAACTGGTACAAGGAAACTGAAACCGAGAGGGGCCCTTGTTGCGGGCCTGATGATGCTCCTGGCACCACTGAGATAAACGCTGCACGTTTTGTGGGAGCCGCCAAGTCCACTTTGGGGGGGGCGGAACAGAGGCTGGAGCAGTGGGAGGGCGAACAGGCAGCACCTGGTGTTCTTTCTCCAAGAACCAGTCCCGTAACGGGGCCTGAATGGGAACCAGTCGCTTCCTGAGAAAAGGTCTGAGTGGCACCACAAAGGCAGGGCAGGAGGCAGAACAAAGGCTCTCCGTACTTTGGGCTGGGAGATTGTGGCTAAGCTGCCTAGAATGGCCCTTCCCAAAGACGGGGGACCGTAGAGCATCCGCTTTGCACCCAGAAGGCTCCGTTTTTGGTGCCTGGCATCTCTAGGAAGGACTGGTGAAAAGCCCTGCCTGGAAGCTGGCAGAGTCCCTCCCAGTCCATGTAGAAAGCACTCAGCTAGATGAAGCTACTGCTCTGATTCACTGCAAAACACCTTCCTGCGTTCCCAAGGAGGAAGATTATGGGCCGAATCCCAAGCATTCAGCCCTTGCAAGGAGGTGTGAGCAGCATCTAGTGAGAGTGCGAACGGACATCCCGGGGCAGGAGACACTGCAGACCGGAAACAGCTCGGCCCCTTACGTCGGAGCTGGGTGGATGTTGAAGATGATCTGGGGCCGTGGCGGCGCCCACTCCAGGTTCCCTCGAACCCGGATGCGAAGCTTGTAGATGTCTGCGTGTTCTCCATCGTCAGGCGAGATGGGCACGGAATCCGGGATGGGCAGCAGCTGCAAGAGGAAAGCGAGACGGAGCCAGTGACGAAACACGCACCTGCAGCATTCGCACTCAGCATGCGAGTGGCTCAGAGGTTCTTTCAAAGGCACGTCTAATCAGACCGATTTTGCTCCTTCCTATTTCAGGCCTTCAGGAAGGGGAAGAGGGAACAGTTCTGGTACAGCTGGAAAGCACCCCGCTTAACTACTTACGGCAATAATTTGGCATTGATTTACTGCTGCTCGTGGGGTGGGGAAGCAAAATTTAGGAATTATTTCATACACCAGGGGGAAATGATCCATGTGAGCGCACCCTTATCTTATTTCTCTTTACAACCAGGCTGGCAGAAAATTCTATATGATTTCTAGCGTGATCACACAAGCACCGAATCGCCTCTCAAGCTTTTAAAGAGTAAGAGATGCAGGCCAAAGCATGCAATCTGAAGGCACACGTTTGCGTGACGGTTAATTGCATGATTCACACTGGGCGGGCTGCCACTGGCAGACTTCTGGCATCGGGTGCCAAGAGCCCTGCTTGCAAACCGGGTCTCCAGCCGGCTGCTGCAGCGGGGCTTGCTCTGCCCTTCGAAAAACTGCTCTGCCAAGGGAGCGCAGCTGAGGCGGCAGTTCAGCAAGTGGTTAGAGCACAAGGCGAGCACACACTCGCGGGCCACGCCGCCCGTTGGAACATACCAGCAGCAGCTTTTTGGAAAGCTGTCTTTTCTTATACCACTTGGGCCGCTTAAAAAGCTTTGTAAGGGACAGTCCAGGGCGCTGAAAGCCAACAGCAAACGAGCGATCAGGGGGGCTCCCCGAACAAAACACCCAAGCTCCTGGTGGCAGCAAGCCGCCCTCACACAACCGGGGAGCAGCTTCAGGCGGCCGTGTTCCTACGTGGCGGCCAGGACCCCAGCGTTCCAGGTGGCAGGCGTGCCTGGAACGGCCCCATGCAAGGCCACCTCCAGGTTTCCAGACACGGCCCCGGCAGGTGAGGGTGGGCAGGCGTGAGGCGCGCTGCAGGGGCCTCGCTTGTTCCCAGACAGGCAGCGTGGCGGAGTGGCTAAGGGTGCAGGACTGGGACTCGGGCGATCCGGGCCCAAATCCCCAGTGAGCCGTGGAGACGACTGGGTGACTTTGGGCCAGTCTCAGACTTTCAGCACAAGCTACTTCACAGGGCTGTTGGTGTTAGGATAAGATGGAGAGGGGAAAAAGCCGTCTTGAGTTCCTTCAAAGGAAACGAGGCAGGATATAAATAAATGAATAAACCACAGAGCTTATATATATATATGTGTGTGTGTGTGTGCCCGCCCCAAACAGCAAATATATATGTGCGTGGGGGTGGGGGTGCCCGCCCCAAACAGCAAATATATATGTGCGTGGGGGTGGGGGTGCCCACCCGCCTGCCTGCCCGACTGCCCCTTAGATCTGAGACAGAGGCCCTTCTCCAGGAGCCCTCTTTGAAGGAGATTAGGAGGGCAGCTACCTGGAGAAGGGCCTTTTCAGTGGTGGCACCCTGACTGTGGAACATGCTCCCCAGGGAGGTTCGCTTGGCGCCGTCGCTTTATTCTTTTAGGCGTCAGGCAAAGGCCTTTTTATTTTCCCAATATTTTAACATTTAATTGATTTTATCTTTGATTTTATCATTGATGGTCAGATGTAGCGTGTTGTGTGTTGCATGTGGTTGGGGTTTTTTGTTTGTTTTTTGTTTTTTCTAAGCCAGCCAGAGACCTTAGTATTGCATGGCATATAAAAACTTTCAATAAATAAATAGATAAGATAAAAAATAAAGCTATAAAAAGAGCTGCCAACTGAAGGCTGGTGCAAAAGACACAACTTTGAATGTAAAGATCCTGCCCTGGAGAATTCTTCTGAGTAACAGATCCGGCTCAGGTAAACCTACAAAGAGCCCAGTGGCGTCTCAGGATCACAGAGCTCAGAGAAGGGTCGGCACATCTGCCAAAGCATTATTATGCCAACAGAAAGAGAATCACACAGGGGGGCCCTGCCAAGCGAACAGGCGAGGTAATCACCAGATTTTGGGTGGCTAAGCGAGGGAGGAAAAAAACCTGGCAGGGAAGAGAACACGGTGCTGGAGGAGAGCTCTGTGCATTCCCTGGACCGACAGAAAGACAAGCCGGGGGCCCTGGATCAAAGCAAGGCAGAGCTTTCCCTCAAAGCAAAAGGACAACGCGGAGGTTGTCAGACTTCAGGCACATCATGGGAAGGCCAGATTCCCTGGGGAAGGCAATCATGTTAGTGAAAGTTGAAGACCGGAGACGACAGGGAAGACCAAATATGAGAGCGATGGACTCCATCGAGGAAGCCGCAGCCCTGGGCTTGGAAGAGCCGAACGGAGCGGTCCTGGGCAAGATTCCTCCAAGGGCTTTCATTCACGGGGTCACCTAAAGTCGGAGATGACTTGCCGGCACGTAAGAAGAGCAAAAGTGGGAGAGAGTTCTAGAGCACAATCCGGTCTATTGAACACCAACTCAGCTGAAGAAAGCATGGTACTACTCACTGATTGATTGATCGATCGATCACATTTCTATCCTGCCTTGTTTCTGACGGGGAACCCAAGGCAGCTCACATGGTCGTCTTCCTCCTATTTCAGCCTCGGGTGACCCCGTGAGGTGGGTTGCGCTGAGAGCCAGCGACTGGCCCAACACGCGCAAGGAGCTGCGTGGCCAAGTGGGGACCAGGACCTGGATCTCCGCCAGCCCTGTTCACACACAGACTCTCCGGCCCGTTGCACTGAGGCTTGCGCCTGAGAGCCTTCCAGAAGACGCTGCACCATGTCAATGTGTGGAAGAAGGCAGTGTGCTCTTTGGGGTACAGGACTCCGACTCCAGCATGCCTCGGCCAGCACTGCCGATACAGACCTCTCCAACTATTTTTGAAAGCCACGCAAGGATTCTACAACCCAGGGAAGCGCATCGTGCTGTGAATTGCTCTTCCCTCCCAGAATCTGGAGGCTGCCGCACTGACCCCCGGCTACGGCCTCGAAGGGGTGGAGGGCTACCCTTCACACCGGGACGCGGGCCACCGCCAGCACACTGTGGCATCTCCTGGCAGGGCCTCCAACACGCCTTCCAAGCCGGGCATGCTCCATGCTGCTCCATTCCCTTGGCGACCGGGCTCCCGCCCCTCCCCATGCATCCCAGTGCGGGGAGGCGGCGATCAGCACACAACCGGGTGTTTCCCACACGCTGGGCGGACGCAGCTCTCCAGCCTTAGCCTGAGCCGGTGCTGGCCTGGCCCCGTGCAGCACCGGGGCCACTCCCCTTGGCTGTTCCCCTTCGTCTTGTTCCGAACCGCAACACCCGGGACGCCAAGCTTTTGCCGCTCTTTGCAGCAGCGGCCCTTCCCCACAACCAGCACCGCGGAGAAGCGAGGCCAAGCGGCCCCTGGCGTAGTGGTGCTGCTCCCCTGCCCAGGGCAGGTGGTGCTGCGCTCCGGCCCGCCGCTCGAGCCACGTGCCGAGACTCACCTTCTGCGGTGCGTCGCGCTCGGGCACGAGCCACTCCAGCTCCGAGGCCGCCGGCAGCTGCATCCCCTCAAACTGCTTCAGCAAGCCCATGGCCACGGCCTCCGCGGAGTTCGAGTGCAGGAAGGAGTGGGCGCTGCGAGACAGAGCGGCAGAGGCGGGTGCGCAGTCAGCGCCGCGGCCAAGAGCTCCTGGACGTGGCCACCCCGCTCGGGGCCCCCCTGGTGCACGACGCCCGAGGGCTGAACTCTGGCGGGGCCAGGAAACCTGTCCTTCACCGAGGGCTGCGGCCTCTTCGGGCAAAGCCCTTGCAGGCAGCAACCGCAGGGCAGGGGCCCCCGAGTCTCTTCCTTCCTGCTCCTGGGGGAGCAGGGGATCACATGTTGCTCCTCCCAAAGACCTGGATCCCTCCGCTGCAGAGGGCCTCCGAGATTAGGCTCGTTAGGGCCACAAGGTGCCCACCTGCCCTACTGAAGCAAAGGCCAGGCACACCTGGCACCCCTCCTGCCGCCACCTCTCCGTCCCCCGCCTCCCACTCCCCGATTTAAATTTGGGCTGCCAGCTTCTCCAGGCAGGACGGGCTTCCTTGCCTCCGTGAGGGTGCCGCAAATGCTGCCGGCAGTCCGTAAGTAATCAGTGGAGCCCGGGCTCCGGGGCTGCCCATCTCGTGCTCGCGTTGGCTGGGCCTCCTCCCGTCCCTGAGGACCACCGTGCTGCCAGCCCCACAGGACGTCCCCGGACATTCGCCACGCTGACACCCGTGCCCGGCCCTTGCTCTGCGCCTGCCCTAACGGCCACCCTCGGGCCCAAGAACTGCGGCACCGGCGAGCCTGGAGTCTCGAGAATCTGACCCCGGATCCGGCCTTCCCAATTCATTCACCCTCAGAAGCCGGTCCCGAGACAAACGCTGACATCCCTGCCACGTCTTGGACCTGAGCCGACCAGTAACGGCTCCCAGCCGGCCCAGATCCTGCTTCCGCTGTGGCACCCGCGGCTGCCAGACTCATCAGCGACCGGGGAGCCCGCCTAGACGCTAACCAGACCGACGCGTCCGTTCCCCAGCCTGCCCCTTCTCCCGCCTGCCCAGCTTCCCGCCTGGGCGGCAGCAGAGCGAGACGGGGCGACCCTTCCCGATACGTACGTGAAGCTAGCGGAGTGCATGGACTTCTTGCTGGGAGCGGCATGCCTCTTGATGTCTGCATCTAAGTCGCGGCACGGGGGGGCGGGGAGGGGGGAGGAAGAAATTAGTTGTGGTGAAGCCACCTCAGGACAAAACACCCGCTGTTCTTCGAGGGAACGGCTCTACCGCAGGGACAGACCTCCTGCGAGCTCAGGGCCCTGCTTCATCCCACCCTGTGCGGGCTCAGATTCTGCCCCCTCTCAGCACCGCTCACATGGGGTGCTTCAACAGGGCGGTGAGAGCTTGATTTAAAGCTGCTAGGCCTAAAGGGGTGAAGAACCTGTGAGGGATGGCACCCCACTTCGCCCTGCCCCGAGGATGAAGATGCTTATCCCCCATTTAAGCTGCACATTTCCTCTCCGAGTGCCCCACAACTCTCTGTGATGGCCGTTAGAATAAGGGTTGTTAAAACCAACTAGCTCAATAACTTGATGGAAGACGGGATGCTGACGGCTGGGAGTCCAAATGGCCAGGGCAGCTTCCTTTGTTTCAAAGAGCCATTGACGGATGGATGCGGTGGACTTGCGATAAGGGAATCGACAAGGGAACCTGTCCCACTTGTCCGCTTCCCAAGGGCACCTGGATGGTCCCACATTAGAAGAAGAGATGTGGGGCTGAATGGGCCCTCAGTCGGAACCTGCATGCTAATTCTCTGAGAGCCAAAAGGTCTGGCTAGGTATAAACTGCTCGTCCTCCTACCGTGTAATGGGAGCTTATTCCATCTACCACCAATGCGCCGCTAAAGGCGCAATCCTACGCATGTCTAGCTATGGCATTCCAGAAGGTGTAGAACTTTCTCCTCTCTAAACAAAGACAGGACTGCACCGTAAGAGTCCTAAAACTGCAGCAAACAAACACAACTACAGTGGAATTAGGACAGAAAGTTTACAAAGCCAGTTACTTGCCCATGGGAAAATAATCGTGTGAAAAGAAGTAAGTTTACAATGGCTTAGCAAAGCAGTTTAAGGTGCGATCCTAAGTCTGTTTAGACGGAAAATGTCCTAAAACCATCAGGCTGAAGAAAGTTGGAAGAAGTAAGGGGGCTTCTGACCAGGAGAAGGGCCCGTTCGGTAGTGGCACCCCATCTGTGGAACATGCTCCACAAAGAGGTACACTTGGGATCATCTCTTTTTTCGGTTTGTTGCCAGGTGAAAAACCTTTCTATTTACCAGGTATTTTAATAGATAATTGTTGGTTTTAACATTATTCGTATCGCTATCGCTGCTGTGTCATGTGTTATTTGATTATAGTTGCTGTGGGTTGTTGTTGCAGCTGGTTTTATTGTTTTATTGAAATATGGTGATTTTACTGCTTTTCAACTTGGCAAACCACCCAGACAGCCTCTGGCAATGGGGCACTATGGAAGTGGAAGGAAGGAAGGAGGGATGGACGGACGAGACTCTTTTGGTTAAAATTTACCCAGAATTGCACCCTTCAGGCAACCTTGGTTAAAGCAGCCGTCGTGCCTAAATCCATCCCCAGGTGCACCGTGCTCTCCACGTTCATGCCCACCACACACACGGCAAAGTTTAAAAACAGTTGCCGCAAGGATGGGCTTCGTGCAGTCTCCCCATGGGGCGCGTGCGTGTGCGCGGTCCCTCGCACGGAAGGCTCCGCGCCTCCCTGCAGCCCTGCGGGAGCGCGCAAGCGTCCGCAGAGGGAGGAGGAGAGCCCAAGGGACGCGTGGCTGCCACACCAACCCGGGCGGCAGGCGGCACGTCCCTGGGGAAGGCCGAAGGGCGGTGCTTGGCGGACACACAGACCGACGGACACGCACAGGGATACGCATGAGAGTGAGGTCACTACCTGAGAACAGGGAAGCCATTGAGACGGAGAGACCACTCTTGGACATTTGAATCAGGTTAGATCCATCGTTACCATCTGCATGATACGGTGATGACAAAACAGGGCACGTCAGCAGGAGGGAGGAGGGGGTCCGCACACGAACATGGGCAGGGCAGGGGAGGCTCCCCGCGGCACAGGGCCCCTCGGGGCAGGCTGGCGGGGCGGGCAAGCTTCCCGCACCGGGGAGGCCTTTCCACCTTGCCAGGCCTGCCACAAGGGCCCTTCCACGTGGCGGGCGATGCCACGGCACCCGGCTCCGACGCATGAGCCCGCTGGAATAAAGCGCCCTCCAGGATGCAACCAGCAGCCCCTGGTGGCTACATGTAGCTGGGGAAGATGGGTACAGAGGGCTTTCACCAAGGAACCCCTGAGCGGCTTTCGCTCAGCTGCCCAGTTCCGCAGAATATGGGTCAGAACCCCTGAACGGGGGGTGAGGGAATGCCACTCATCCTAAGCTCGCGATCCTTTCCCCCTCCCTCTTGCCAAGCCACTGTATTCTGAGCACTGCCTCCCTCCCTCCCACAAGCTGCCCTTGGGGTCTTGGCGCCTCTTGGGACGGCTGCATATGGTCCTTTGCCGGCAAGGGAGTTGAAGGTTTCAGTCCAGCTGCCACGGAATGGGCAGGATGACACAGCGCTGAATTTTGCTACACGACGCTTCCGTGCACCCCCTGCGCGCTCAACTGAAGGACGGAACGGCAGAGGAACTGAGTCAAGCAGGCGGATCTCGCTATGCCAGAGGAACAGCGCCGGTCCTTGGCGGCAGGGACGGGACTGAGCAGATCGGGACAAAAGGGCCGGGGGCTCCTGGGCAGAGGCTGCCGCGGTGCTTCAGACGCCCTCTGGACCCTCGCAGTGCGCGCGCACACACGGATGCGCTGTAACGTTCGACTCGCTCTTCTGCTCTGGGCACACCGTGTCAGAGGCTGAGAGCAAGCGGTGGAAAGACGGGCAGCCCCGATCCGAGAGAGCGCTCCCCACCGCTTCGACTGGGGAAGCAGCTTGCCTGGGAAGCATCCACAGGGGCCGGGCAAGACACAAACGATGCAGCCCGCCTGGCAGAGGGCCGTTTCCCGGGCTGCTTTCTCTGCCGTGCCTTCCTTGGGCCAGAACTGGGCTGGGATGCACAAAGGGAATCTCTGCTTCACACGCCTAGAGTCACCTACTTCAACCCCCTAGCAGGCTCCAGTGGGGGGCTGTGGCAGGGGGAGGGACAGGATGCTGGCTCTCCGACATTTTCCGACTGGGAAGGAACACCCCCATGTTCCCAGCTCTTAAAATGTACACCCTCGCTAGCTTCAGCAGCCCGCGGTTTTGCCACACAGACGTCTTCCAAGCCCTGCACTTCCTACTGTGTGAGTTCTGAAGGATCTGATGAGGGCGATTTGTAACCAACAGTGCAGTGAGCAAAGACAGTCACGCAGAGACCTGTCAGGGAAGGATTAATGTGCTTAGGAAGCAGGAGGCCCCGGGGTTCAGTCCCTGGTTTCTATGGCTAGGAACACCCCGTTGTGATGCCGGGAAGGACTTCTACCCAAGACCCTCGGCAGCAGAGCGGCTGTCAACCTGAGTGGGCACCACCAGCTAAGGGGAGGGAACAGTCCCAGAGCATGGCAGCTTCACAGGCCTGGATAAAGAGGTGAAGGTCGGAGGTGCTGCTCGAACCTCTGCCTTACCTCGGAGCTCATACTCATCCACATCTTCTGCAGAGCCCGAGTCAGACAGCCGCGTTGAGTCCCGGGAGCTGAAGTGGGATCCGCTGTCAGTTGCCATAAGACCTGGGGGAGCGGTGGCAAAGCAAGGAGGGCTGTGACACAAGGAAGCTTTCCAGCAGCAAAGCCAAGAAAATGACTGCAGAATGGGCAGCCTGAAGTACAACCGGCACTTGTAGGTCCAAACACCAAAGACCGGCTCTGGCGGCCTGTATGCTTCTGGGGACGATTCAAGGCGCTGGTTTCAACCTACAAAGCCCCACATGACGTATGACCACAACACCTGCCAGGCTGCCTCTCCCAGCCGCACCCGATCCAGACACCACGCTCAGCCTCGGGGGCCTTCCTCTGAGTGCCACCTCTGAGGGGGGCTCAGAGGGAGGAAACCAGGGGGAGCGCTTGCTCTGTGGGGGCCCCTCATCCCTGGAACGACCTCCCCACTGCAGTCCCCTGGTGCCAAACCAGTCATCTTTTTGGTGCCAGGTTAAAATGGCTCGTGACGCAGAGGCCTGCAGAAATTTACTGGGATACCCAGGGGCTGGCCTGAAGGGATTTCCAACCCAGGCATTTTGACAGAGTCATTCTTTGTCATTTGACTTAGCTTTTAAAACTTAAATATTTCTCTGCTTTTATTTTATTTTTTTTATGGACTGTTGCAAAAGGTTCAGAGAGCTTTGGCCATGGGGCAGTATAGAAAATAATAATCATAATCATAATCATAATCATAGCAGCAGCAGCAGCAGCAATGACAGCTTAGGAGGTTCCTTATATAGCAAGAATCTTCACAACAAGCCTCCAGTTTTTCAGAATCTGTCTAGCTCAGCCATCCACAACATGATACCTTCCAACAGTTTTGGACTTCATCTCCCATCAGACCCAGCCACCATGTCCAAGAGTCAGAAGCTCTGGGAGCGACAGTCCAAAACATCCAGTGAACACCACATTAGAGAAGACTGGATGAGGTGCTTCTCCACCTTAACATGTATTTGTAAATCTGGGCCCCCAGGACCCCCGTTTTAGCTCCCCAGTGCAGCAAGGGAGAACTGGGGATGCTGGGCTCATCTGAGACCACTTCCCTGAACCACTGCCATGCATGCTGGTCACTGTAACAGCAAAGTGTATGACCAGATCTGGTGCCCAAATCTGCTTATTTCTAAAAAGCTTATTTGCTTCATTTTAATAAATTAATTTATCGAGTTCATTTCCCCCGTTCCCACACCAGCCCTTTCCCTTCTTTGTCATGGCTACTCAAGGATAAAACTGTGGGCACGAGTTGTGCTGCTGTTACTCCTTGTACTGAGCTTGGTACATTTTTGGCCCTTTAGAAACAAATCATTATTTCAGGGGCACGAGGCAACTCAGGTCACTTCCATGCTCTGGAGTCGAAGCAAGCTGGAAAGCCAGTGGCTGACACAGCGCTCTTACAGCACTGATGCAGCCTATACCCCATGATGCATTTATTTAAAATATTTACATACCGTCCTTAATCCATATGGGATCTCAGGATGGTTTACCTGATGAAACACAGGTAAGCCAGAAGCGGAGGATCTCAGGGCTCAACGACATATAGCTTAAGGCTGTTTGCAAAATGTTTGGACTTGTCCCCATTCATTCCACCACCTTCTGCCAAGATAAAGGCCTCAAACACAATACACAGGGACTGCTTGGCAAGCTCTCTGGCGCTGCTGCACACTTTCAAGAAGCCAAAGCAGGAACGCTTCAGCGTAACGCGTCAAGCTCACACGTGGCAAGACACACAAGCGTATCCAATGCTCCCTCGCTCGCATCCTTCCCTTCTGCTTGCTGAATCGGGCTTTCCTTGGCTGGACTGGCCCGAGGATTTGCATTCCCCCAGTCAAGGATGCGCGTCTCTGGCTCTGGCCCAGGATGCTGCTCTGGGAAGCCCAGAGCAGCCTTCCTTGCCTCGATCCCAGCACTGCAAGCCACCATGAGCCCGGCACGCCGCAGCGCCTGCAGGAGCACTCACTGTCCGAGCCCATCTGGTAAGCCGGGTGCAGGTTCCGTGTCCTGATCTGCTGCCGCCGGATGCGGATCTTCTGTTTCAGCTCCTGGATCTCCTTGTCGCTGTCTTCCTCGTCCTCCTCCAGCTGCCGGTTCATCATATTGCACTTCATCAGCTCGATGGCGGCGATCAGTGACTCGCAGATGCTGAAGTGAGCGTTCTCCTGGAACGAAGCGGAGAGCAGCTGCTGTGTTAGGAGCCACCGTTTTCCCAAAGAAATGAGCCAAGAGTTTTCCTGGGGGAGAGACTGGGAGAAGCGACAGCTCCCAACAGCTTCTGAAAGCCTGGTAAATAGCAAAGGAAATGATGCCTGTGGCCCTGGGAGTATTCTGGGTGTTGCAGAATTTGGAAATGCTACGAAATTAGCATGCTGACAATTTACACTCCCCAAGCTTGGTCAGTTTACACTCCCCAAGCAAGGGTCACACTCTTATGGCTGGGAGCACATGTTGGAAAATCCCTGCACACTGTATTTTTAAACTAAACATTCGTCACAACAGGTCACCTTCTTCCGATCAGTCCTACGAAAAGCAAGCCTCCGAATCATGCTTGCTCCAGCCTCCCTTTCGCTGGTTAAGACAACCCATTTCTTAGCCGGCCTCCCCGCTTACCGTCTCGCTCCTTTCCTCTCATGTTAGATATGATGCAAGGTTTCAGTGAACTGGGTCAGTGGCAGAATTTCCTTTCCCATCAGAGCTGCGGCAGAGGCCCCGATCCACAGCTAAGGGAGGAGTCCTGATGCTTTCTCTGCCGTTCCCCAAGACTTAAAAATGCTCCCCAAACCTGCTATTTTAGCACAGATTTATCGGAAGACATTTCGGTACTAAGTATGCCCAATGAGCGATGGCAGAATGGCACCTCTGGTAAAAACAGGCTCGCTCGCCCATCCATCACTGGCCAGGTCCAAGCATGCCTTCCTTCGCAGCGGGAGAGCAGTGCTCAACGTGTTTATGCTTGCAGGCACTGCACAACTGTCCCACTGCATCTTCCCCTACCTGAGAGGAGAGAGGTGAGAACCAAAGGGAAAACAGGAGACTGCAGGGACTGACTGGCAGGGTCATTCAGCTGCCCCCCAAAATGTGGGTGAACATGGGGAAACGCCCAGCGCAGAAGCACCCAGCTGGAAAACGCTCAAACGGTGCCCGCCAAAATCGGAGAGACCGAGCCGGAGCAGGAGCAGGGCTTTCTTTCGCCAGGAAGTGAATTTCCAGCCTCTCGGACTCCTTACAGTGAAGTAAGGTAGGCAGAATTAGCCAGTAAGGATCAATCTGAATGATTCATTTAGTGCACATGGTTATTCAAGGCAACCGAAAACCCTGAATGATGATCGTAAAGAACATACACAGATGAAGGTACCGCTAAAAAGCAAGAAATCCTGAGATGGGTCTGTGTTATGAACCTCTTTCTACGCTTTCTCCGACTGCTGCATGCCAGTTCTCTGCTACAGGTGAATGCGGCCATCTCGGGTTTCATTCCCACCTTTTCCAGGTCCGCACAGCTGCCAAAATCTTGCTCCGACAAGTAACTGATCAGGGATTGGCCTTCTGAGGGCCTCCGGAACAAGCCTTCCCCAGAGTGCAGATATTGCCCCATATCTGGGTTGGGGGTGGGGAGAAAATAAAAGAGCAAGTTGGTGTATTGGACTGAATAGCCCCTACCAGTGCTGACAGCGATAGAAACTGAAATGTCAAATATAACCTCAGCAAAGGCAACCATAAAACAAATTAATTAAAAACACCATTTGAAGCACGAGAATAAAAGAACAGGAGAAGCACCCCAGGTGGCAGAGCCGCTTAGAGCTCAAAGGAAAAAACGCCTCTGCCTGCGAGCACGAGGACCGCCGGGGAGGCACCGACCGGGCTTCCCGCATCGAGGAGCTCCAAAGCCTGGGAGATGCCACAGAGGGCCCTCCATCAGGCTCTCGTCAAATGCACTTCTGAGTGGGGGTGGTCCCGAGAGAAGGGCCTCCCCCAACCTGAGCAGCCTCCACGGGGTGGGGGGGGTTGTTCTTCAGATCTGGAGAATGCTGCCGAAAGCTAGTATCTGAAGTCCTAAGAGGACCTGAGCCGGCAGGGCCAGAGTAAGCATCCGGGCGGGCCGGAAGGGACCCCGGTTCTCAGCCAAGACTTCTGCAGAAAGCCCCGCTGAGCTCCAGCGCAAAGCAGAGCCGGGGAGCAGGAGAAACGCGTCCTCAAGTGCTCACCGTATTCCATGTAGATCGAGTTGGTGGCGCTCACTTCGCCGCTCCGAACCGAACAGGACGTGCTGCTTTTGAACCTCGGAAGATCCCCGTTGGACTCTAGCCGCGACATAAAACAAAGAGGGTGTCAACGTCCGTAAGCAGAACTCGTCCTGCAGGGAAAGGCCAGAGACCCGGAAGGGACGAGGCGAGACATCATGACACGACAGGAGGGGATGAACTGGGGTGCTGGGCCCAGCTGAAGCCCGGCAGGATCGAGGGCGGAGAGGGGGGCCCTGCAGCGCGCGGTCAGGGAGATGAGCACAGATCATGCAGAGGGTTCAAGCAGGGGCCGCTCGGGATGCAGGCGTGTGAGCCGTGCCAGAGATGTCGGGTGTGGGTTTCGGAGTGCCAGATTCCAGTTTTGCTTCACACCCGCTGGGAAGCCACGGCCTGATTGCCGCCTCCCAGCCTGCCAAGTAGGAAAGGCAGCCCCTCTCCCCCGAAACTGAGCAGCCAGCGAGGCCTGCACCCTGGGCATCCACAGACGGTGCCCTCGGGCAGGCGCCAGGCTTCAGCTGTGCCACTGCTGTGCTCTTGCCCGCTCCAGACCCTGTGTGTGCAGACAGGAGCACACCTCCCGTCCCTGCTCCCCAGGGCTGCACTGGGCCACCATTCCAGTTTCCCCAGCGGGCACTGTCAGCGGGCGGGGACAAGAGTGGCACCAAGACACCTGCCCGATCGCCTGCCTTGGATTACCGCTCGCACCGTCAGCTAAGCTCAGGAGATCCTACCAACCGACACCCCGCCCCCGGAATGTTTTGCCGAGGACCGCTCAGCCTCGGTGTCGGTCCTGGGAGCTGGCCACAAATTGGCTTGCCCCCCCACAAGCCTTCCCCTCCGGTTGCATTTCAGATGTGGACTGCCAGCCCCCAACACTACCACGAGCCCACGTAACTTGCAAGAGAATCCCGTGGACGCGTTTTCCTGGATGGGGCCACACTGGGCCACGGGTGGGGGAAAGAGTGAGCTCCCTGCACAAAGGAAATGTGTCTGCGGGGGAGTCGGAAGAGTGCGCCGGTTCCCTATGTCCTCCTGCCATGGAAAAGAAATCACACCTGGGATTATGGCGCATGCGCACTCCAGTGCTCAGAAGGTGGAGCTACTGCAGCCGGTTCACGCCATACGCTGCAACTCTTCTTTCCTCTTACGTAATAATAAGCTTCTAAGGCAGGGGCAGGAGCTGCTACAGGATTTGTCCCGACGGCTGCCCAGAAGCTGCTGATCGTACAAATGTCTCCAGCACTGCACATAATTCCAAGATGCTCTTGTGCAACTAGGAACCCTACCATGGTTGGGACCCAATGCTCCAAAGGGCCGTGCCTCGTCTCCTTACGATTCTCCAGAGAGGGCGCTCCATGGCATCGCCACTCGCATGCGGGTGCTTCCTCCTCTCAGAGGTTCAAAGCCATGGCATCATCCACAAGATGTATCTGGCCCGGCTTTTGAGGAACAATGGCTAGGCCAATCGAGAAACAGATGCTTGGGCACTGGCGACATATAACCTGGAGAGCTCAAATTTAACTTTTGGCATTCTTATTCGAACACTTGGCCACCACCTTTCTGCTCCAAAGTTCCTTCAAAGGAATAGACAACTTCCGAAAAGTCTCACAAAACCGCTTGAAACAAACCAAAGAGCAAAGCAAACTGAAGCTAAAAACCACTGAAACAAGTGCAACTGCCGTCGGTAAGACACATTTTGCAGGGCCCGCAAGGTGCTCACCAGGAGGGGCCAATCGGGGCACTGCGCTTTACACCAGCTACAGTTTCGGGAGACTGTTCGAGGGCAGCCCCATGCGCCACAACAGCCGCGACAGGAGGTGATGAAGCTGCGGTCACAGTGGCCAGACCTGCTTGCTCCAGGAGGCACGACCAAGGCGTGACTGGCCACAGCAGCCACTCCGGGAGCAATGCCAGGCCCCGAAGCAGCCCCCTTCCTTCTGCAGAAGTGCGACCCTGTCCAGAACAGGCGGTACTCCTGCATCCTGGACTGATGCCCACTGGCCCACAGGCGCCTGGCCTGGCCTTGCCCGCACTGACGCAGCCCATGTGCAATCCGTTCCTGCACCCAGAGCACAGGTCAGGACTTCCACTGATCAGGAGGAACAGAACTGGGTGCCGTCGGCAAAACGGGGAGCCCTGGCGCACAGGCACCTGTGGCCTCTGGAACGTGGCAGCATGATGCATCCAGCATGGACCCACACATACGCTGGTGGTGACCCCTTCTGGGCATTTTCCTGCCGAGGCACCGAGTCTTTCAGATGGGGAAGATGTGCCTGTTTAGACCCGAGTGTGGCTTGGCTTCCGGCGCAACCTGGGCTCCGAGGACAGAGGCTCCGTGGGAGGGCAGCTGGCCTGAGCGCCTTTTCCCAGCTGTGGCTGGCGTGAAGAGAAGCTGGCTGCATGCACAGATGGAGATGGCGGCAGATCGACGCACGGGCACACACACATGTAGAACATGCGGGGGGGAGAAAGGGGGGGCCAAGGTAGGGGGCACGCTGGTGTCAACTCCACGAGCTTAGGAACCTGGGCCTGATTCAGGGCCGCACCCTTCATCCAGCGGGGAAGACACTTCTCGGGAGTCACATGTGCGGCTGCACACGACAGCCACACATGTGCTTCTCTGCTGGACAGGCATGCGGAGCCCACGCGTGGGGAAGCACTGGCGGCTCCATGGGACGTGACTGTCAGACATGGTCCTCTGCAGGGAAGTCCTCTCCGGCTGGGAAAAATACAGGACACTCCGCTCGGTCGACTGGCGCACGGGCGATTTTAAGGAAGCGGCCGTGCGGATCGCAGCCGCTCTGCGGGAAGCGCCTGCCACGGGGCACACAGAAGACTGCCCATGCCCAGGGGGAGCTGTGGTGGCTTCTTGTCTTGTGGCGGGTGCATCAATGACTCCCAAGTCTACTGGGGACAAAATGTGCACCCCCCCTGCACTTCTTACTTCCCCTTTCCCTCTTGCTGGTGCCAGAGAAGCCCTTACACAGGGCAGCCCCAAACCCTCCGCCCAAGGCCAGCCTGCCCCCCCGTCCTGCACGGGGCCTCAGCCCGCCAGGCTGGAATCTCCCGCTGGCTGCTGCTCCGTCTGGACAGGGGGCCTCCCTGGGGAGTGAGAGCCTTGCGTGGGGCAGCCTGGCCAGGAGCACAGGGCCAAGCAAGGCCCCTCGGGGCACCATTTTGGTCAGAGGCATTCTGAGGTTGACACCAGGGTTTCGACCAAGGTCTTAAGTCCGTGCAGCGGACACTGATGACGGGAGGTGTGCGACGCGCTGGTTCCCAAACCTGCCACCGGATCTTCTATTATAATGCTGATCTCTCGGTGCCCCCCTAAGGACAGGCAGCCAAGCAGCAGAGAGAGTGTTGTGGAGAGAGAGAGAGAGAACAGAGAAGATAGTTACTTACCAAGGAGACGTGGCTCACCCCTGACTGTCCCAGGGAAAGCCCAGGCGCTGGCTGGGGGCCCCAGGCCTTTGCAGCACTTCCTTCCGGAGGAGCCCTCCCACCAGCTCGCTGCACTGCTCCACTCCCCCTGCCCCAGCGCCTCTTTCTCTGCCAGGAGCTGTGGCCGTGCAAACCCCACCCGCCTCCCGGCACTCTGGCTCAGGGTCACCTGCATGTTCAGGCAGAGTATCACAAGGGAACGCAGTGGCTGCGACGCGCTGTGGCGAGCAGGTGTGTGGCCCAGGTGATGGTCCCTGGGAGCAGGCGAGGCTCAGGACACCGACTCCTGAGTGGAGCCGCTTCGGAGCAGGGGTGGGCGACCTGCATCCCCAAAGAAACGGCGGCCCTGGGACTTCCAAAATTGTTCAGCGGGCAATAAGCTCGGACCACGGCCAGAGGGATCCCACTCCCCTCCAGCAGCCCGTGAGTGGAGAGAAGAGGGGCAGAGGGGCAGCGACCCAAAGAGAAAGGAAAGGGGAAAGGGGGGAGGGCCCCCGGCTCACTTCTGCCTCTGGCCCTCCCCACGGCAGTCTTCGGAAATGCAGCCTTTGGCAGAGAAAGGGCTTCTCCTCTCCTTTTGCACTTTGGTACGGAGTCAACGGAGAAAGAAGATGGGTGCTGGTTTAATTCCCATGCTAAGGACAGTACAGAGCAGAGGTGGAGAAACCTGGATGCTGCAGGGAAATGCTACACTTCCCTGAAGGGAAAATGGCTGAGAAGACAACCAGAGCAAAGGCAATTGTGTAAATCCAGGCTTAGTTACGGTAGGGGGCAAGGCTTAAAGCCACCTTCCTCAACGCACTGCCTAGCTGGGGGATGCTGGGAGTTGTAGTCCAGCACCCCTGGAGGAGACACCACCTTGGGAATGGCTGGACTCATGGGTTAAAAGCTTGAACACAAGAGGGGCCACAGAGAAGCCCGAGGGGGGGTTTAACGGCAGCGGCATCGCCGACACGATCGGAGAGGGAGAGCCACAGCTGGGGCACCGAAAGGAGGAACGGCCAGCACCGGCACCAAGCGTCAAGGCCCTTCTGGCAGCTGCAGCTGGGGAGCCAAAGCTGTGTGTGGGCACGGGGAAGGCCGGCTAGAGAAACCAGGCGGAACAAGCAGCGGAGAGGGCAGAGGCCGGCCCAGGCAGTCCAGGGCCTTGTCCCTGATGGGGCTGCTGCGGGAAAGGTGGCCGTTAGGAAGCCGAAGAAGCGGCACGTGCCACGGACTAAGTGATGTGAACGCCTCTGGCGGCTATGGGGGAGCGGGAGTGGGCCCACGGAATACGGATCAACCTTTAATGCAGCACAGATGCTGAATTCCAAGCTCTCCACCCGCCGGGCCATTCTCTCTCACAGGGTCTTTCTCACCAACTGCCTGAGCCATGACCACTTATGGACTGCCTGCCAAATATGTCCCAGACCCAGCGAGAGGGAAGGGGCAGCCTCACCGGTTCAGGGGAACACACTGCCAAACTCTTTTCCAGCAAAGGCGACCCTCATCCCACAGTGCCCACAACCGAGCTGTCAACTCCCAGGGAGTCTCCTTGGGTCACGTGGAGCTGAAAGGGGGATCTCAGCTGCTCCCCCCTCCCCGCTCCATCCCTGACATCCATTGCAATCGCTTGCACCCGGCTCTTGTCTTGCGGACCAAAGGTGCAGCGTCCCTGGCGCCCCAAGCAGCTTCAACAGCGGCGGCGGAGATAAGATACCAATAAAGGCGCGCCCATCCCTTTGCCCGTCTTACCGTGGGCTTTCCCGGAGGCCACGCTGGTGTCCGAGTGGGAGCGCAAGTGGCTCCACCTGGGCAGCCCCTGGGAGGAGGACGTCTGTCCCTCGGAGAAGCTGGACCTGCGCAAGAGGCTCGTCCCCCGGCTGCCGCCGCTGCCACCGCTGGCTCCCCGCTCCCCCAGGGAGGAAACCGACTCCTGCTTCTGTGAGCTGCTGGACGAGAAGAGGTTGGAGCTGCTGCTCCCGGCACTGTGGGCAGTGGCCATGCTGGACTCGCTGGAGCTGCTGCGCCCGCGGCTCGGCCGGCCCAGGTTGCCGATGGCCAGGTACTCCGGGCCGTCTGTGTCATCCTGGCCGCTGGCCCAGGGGTCGTCCCTTTGGTTGGCGGAGGTGCCGGCGCTCAGCTCGCCGGCTGGGGAGGAGTCCTTTGGGCTGGAGACGGTGAGGTGCGGAAGAGGGACCGAGAGGCGCTGGAGGGACCTGCCCTCCGGCTGCCAGGGGGAGGAGGCACACGGGGCATTTTCCTGAGGCTGGCTGGCGCTGCTGCAAACCAAGGTGCCGGATAGTCTCCGGTCTGCAAGGAGGCAGGGACAGAAGCAAAGGAAAAAGAAAAGTCCCTTAGAATCTCTGGGGGCAAAACACAAGCAAAGCTCAGTGACCGCGAAGCCAGCAGTTCTCTGGGATCAGTGGCGCCTCACAAGACTCAGGTTGCTTCCGGGCTACTCCTGAAGGGCAGGTTTGCCTCTCGGAGGTGCTGTTTGCCGCTCTGAGTGCTGCTAGGGCCGGTTGCCCACGGAGGACACAGTGTGTCAGGCAGGTTCCAACTTGTCAGCCAGCTGCAACGTCACCTGGACGGAGACATGCCCTGGTAGCCATCGCATTAGAGTACACTTGCAGTCTGGTTGATCTGTGGGCGGCCTTTGAAGGCTGCTTGGAAATTCGGCTAGGGCAACCTGAAGCAGCTCAATGAGAACTAGCCACATGGAATGCATCTCAACGGTGCAAGAACATCCCCAGTGGCTTCCCGGGGCCTTTCTGGGTACCGTTCAAAGTGCAGATGTTAACCTTCCAACCTTTTCTTGGAGGGAGATGTGGGCGTCTGAAGGCCTCCACCTGCTGCTGAATAAGCTTGCCTAGTTGCGAAGACCTTCCTTGGAGTCCCTTCTCCAGGTAACATTTCCCAGACGTTAGACAAATGATCGGCAGAAAGGGGGTCCTCTCCTGTGCTAATACCCCAATTCTGGAGCGCCCTCTCTCGCTCTTGCTCTCTCTCTAGTCTCCACCTGCAAAAGGGCTGAAGGGTCAACATCTGCCCTTTAGATTATACCCAGAAACAGAGAAAGCAAAGAAGCACAACTGTGTAATTGTTTTACACTTCGGCCTAATTTAGGGTTTAAATTCACCTAATTTAGACTGCTTCTGCCAGTCACTGGGAGTGGAAGGCGGCGGAAGGCAGCAAGTTCGACTAGGAGGCCTGCTGGCGCCTGAAGTCATGCCAGGCATTATCCACAGACACGCGAAGCACGGCCAGGGGGCCACAGTCCAACCCATCCAGCCACCCGGCTGGGGAAGGGTGTTCCATGAGTTGTATGCCTGTGCATAACGGAAAGGATTGCAGAAGGAAACAGTCTCCCTTCTGACGCCAACAAATGTTCCGAAATATGCCAACCGTTCGCAGAGATTGTGAGCTGTCAGGAAGGGAGCACTAACCCATGAAGCTGCCTGGTGATTGATTCAGGACAGGTAAAAGAACCTCTTCACACAACTAAGTTGCCGAGATGGCTTTCTCCTATGGAAGCTCTTACATATCCAAATGCACTGAATTTTAATATGATTGTGAGATATGATGATATTTTGGATAATGATGGAAAACTGAAACCGAATCAAGAACTGCAGGAGCAGGGTATTGACATTTCTTGGTAGTACAAGGTTCAAATACAATCAAGATATGTTAAAGATTATAGAATGTATGGTTTTTATAAGGAATTAGCAACATTTGATCAAATGATTTTAAAATCAGATGAAAAAATGATTTAAAAATGATTAAAAGATTGTATAACTTTCTTTTGGACAGGAAAATGGAAGATGAACAAGTTAAGGAAATTATGATAACATGGGCACAAAATTTTGGGTATAATATTGAGTTATACAGAAATGGCAAAAGCTGTGGGAAAGAAATATTAAGATAACCTTAGCAACTTCATATAAAGAAAACCTTTATAAAATGTTTTAGAGATGGTATCTATCGCCAAATCGATTGGCAAAAATGTTCCCAAATATGTCAAATAGATGTTGGAAATGTAAACACAAATCTGGTACTTTTTATCATATGTGGTGGCCAAAAAAAATTGGGTTAAAATACATAAATGGCTTGGGGAATGCTACAAAAGCCTTTAACATGTAAACGTGAAGTTTTTCTACTAGGCACTATTCCTGATGACTTTGATAAACAAGCTATATTATCTGATCTTACACGTAATTACCGCGGCGAGGATTGCATTTGCCCAACACTGGAGGAGTGAAGAGCCACCTACCGAAGAGTTAATCTTAAAAAAGATTTTGGACTGCGCCGAAATGAACAGATTGACCTTGTCTTTGAAGGAGAAGGAAGATACATCATTCTATCTAACTTGGAATTCTTTTTATTACTGGTTAGAGAAACGGGACTCTGCGTAGAACTGAATATGGGTTTTGATTATTAAAAAGAGTAAGGTGTCAACCCAGTATGTCCGATGTCTTAAATAATTGTTGTTTAATGTTAGATTGCAGAGAAAATAACATTTGGGGGAAAAATAAAAGGACTGTGTGTCTAAGCTCCCTTCTAAATCTGCTGAAGGGGGGAAATGGGCAGCGGCGGGGGGTGGGGAGAGACCTGCTTCCAACAATAACCTAATTCCTGTTTCCGACAGTGGACATTCGGAAGCTTCCAGAAAGGACAGAGGCTGGGCACGAAGGCAATAGCCATCTGTCTCTGCTGGAGGCCACACCACCTCAACCCACCCTGCCACTGGCCTTCCGGCGGTGGCCTGGCACCAAAGTTTTGCCCTGGGAAATCAAACGACACCAGCCGCAGCCTTAAGCAGAAGCACCAGCCCTGCAAGGCCGCGACTCCACAGCAGAAGCAGATTCTCTTTCGGAAGGCTTCCTCTGGGTGTACCTTGGATGCCGGCAGAGGCTGAGTGAAGACCTGAGAAGGAGCCGAAACACCGGTGGGTCGTGCATTCAACCGGAGGGGTGCACACGGATCCAGGAAGCGCCGTGAGACTCTGGCTCTTCGCCACAGGCACGGAGGCGGCCTCGATTTTCCTGGCGAACTGAAGGAGGAGCACGTCAACGAGACAGCGATGTAGAGGGGAGTGGAGGGACGGCGTCCCTAGAAGGCGCTCGGCAACCCGTCTGCATCCGTCCACAGGCGGGGAACCCTTTCCACATTATTTAACAGGCTGGGGAGTCCGGAACAGCCGTCCCGAGTGCCCTGGTTGTCGAGGAGCTTGCCCTAGAGAGCCGGGCACGCTTCTCGTCTTGTGCCCAAGAAGGGCCCAACCAGCCCCTGCAGCTCCTCCTCACAGGAAAATGGTGCTGGACAAGCTCCCGGCAGGAACTCTTGTGCCCCGTTACTTTTATGCGACGATTGGCTTGTCGCATACTTCAGAATGAGTGGCGTTAAAATTCACTGGGGCGCTGCATCTGGTCGGCCTCCCAGCAGCCGGGGAAGGCAGGCTGCAGTGCTCTTTTCTCTGCCACTGACCCAGGACGATGGCGAAGGGCCCCTCTCCCGGCTCAGGAGGGGGGCCTCTCTCTGCAACTGAGAGGATCTATCACTTCCCCGGGCAGAGGGATGCACGGAGCGACCGTTCTGCTCTGCCCCTCTCCCCTCACGGAGACACTCCTGTCTCCATGCAGAGGGAAGCAGTCTCCGCGTGGAGAAAAGGGGCGGCCTTCCTCTGTGCGGAGAGGCCGGCGTGGCCCCTCCACCCCTCCGCTACATGGGCCCCGTGACGCCATGCAGCCCACTGGGGGTCCCTGTGATGAAACCATTCCCCACCCCTGCTCTGATTAAACGCCTCCCAGTTGTATTTCTTGAGGCACGTGCCCACGCTTCTTTCCAATACTTTAAGGAAGAGGACTCTCCCACAGCCTCCCAGGGCAGCCTCTCCCACTGGCCAGCTGCAGCTCCTCCGACTGAGCCTAAGCGGTCCCGCCACACACGTCTCGTCTACTGAGACCAAGAGGGATTCCCCCCCCCCCCCGTCCAAAAGCAAGCCTGGCGAGCAGCTGACACACGGCTGGCTCATCGAGACCCCCGTCTTGCGTTGGTCCTGGGCAAACAGCTCAACACAAAGCTTGAGTCTGCTGGACAGAACTCGGTGGGGCCTTTCCTGCAGGACAAACGCGGAGGCTCGTCTCCCAGGGCTACAGCTCCTGCAGCCTCCCCCCCCCCACCCCTTCTGGCCAGGCATTAGGAAGTGCTCTGGCAGCAGCTTTTTGGCATTCAACATCCGGAGTCAAGTCGTCAAGGCCCTTCTTCAAAGGGTCTCTGTCTGTGACTGAATGAAACCCTGTGCAGAGGGGGACGGCAACGCGACGGCTGGCAACGGAAGGGAACGAATGTGGGGCAGAGAGGGACACAGAGCCGGCGGAGACGCGAGGGCCCTTCCTCACCATGGACGCATCGATCTGCGCAAGCAGCCGGGGATTGTTCTGTTCCACGGCCTCCAAGCACTGCAGCATGACCGTGACGTGGGTGTCGCTGAGCAGAAAAGCCGAGTCTGCAAAAAGGAACAGGCGGGATTCAGGTGCACAGGCCCGTCGTCGCTCCCGCAGCGCCTCTTCCACGCGAGGCACGAGAGTGTTTGCCTTCCCGATGTTCCAACCCTCCGGACCTTCGACTGGGGGAGAACTGCTAGCCAGGGAGTTGCAAAACAAGGAACACCACCAGAAGGCAAACAGTGGTGCTAGGAACAGCATCCAGTACAAATGAAGAACATAAGGCCCTCTAGTTCAATTGCGCAATAGTAAAAAGGATTTACAAAAAGAAACCCAACATGGATAAAGCCCAGAATTAATTGAAGTGTTTGTGGTCCAACCATCAAACAAAAAGGGGAGCCAAATCAGCTTATGAAGAAATAGGATGTTCCTTGCCTACAGCCTAAAGGCATAACACATGAGGAAAGAGCACCTGGAGGGAGGAGGAAAAGTGCACCAAAACATGACTGTCTGAGAGTGTCCTCAGCTGAGTCACGAGGAGCAGAGCATTGTAGGGCAGTCTCTAAAACCCTTCTCCAGTCAAGGCAAGAGGGCATCCTGTTAAACACTGTACAAAAAGGAGGCCTTTAAGCCAAAGCCGTGTGGGCCAAGCAATGCAGCTGGCTGCCCCCGATACTCATGCCTCAGGCACATTTGCCTCCAAACACCCAGAAATAGGCAACCACACACAGTCTGCTGTCTGATGCGGTTATGTCTGAAGAAAGGACTCCCCGCAGGTTCACTAGGAGATGCATTATACAGAAGCACATGCCGTGTCCACAGAAGAATTGCAAGAAAGACCCCACAGCTGCGTCACAGTAACAAACCCCTCTCCGATACTGTCCTTCGGAACATGCCAGTTGGGGAGGAAAACTCCCATCCATCATGGTACCACCTCAAAACACGTATGGCTTTGAGAATCCAGGCTGTGATTGTAAGAGCACGGGGGCTAACGGAAACCAGGAAAGGATTTGAGAGTTAAAGCAGCTGCTCTGCGCACAGAAATTTCCAGCTCGGCCCCCGGGGTCTCCAACCAACCAGATGCTCGGGACGGGCAAATCTGAGCTGGCTGGATTAATACACTGCCCCACTATCAGGCTGCTCCCTGTTTTCTCCTCCTTTTTTCTCCATTATGGCACCGCACGCCTCCTCCTCGCTGAGCGCACACCTGGGCTGCACCACTGAGGGCTTATGGGACGCAGGTCAGTTTTAAGGGGGGGAAACACAGAAAGCAATCATGTCAAGGGGAGAGGCCTTAGCTCAGCCTTCCCTTGACATGCCCATTTTCAATATGGAGGCTTTTTAAGCGTTTGCACGCATGGGTACTATCGACACTGGTACGTTGCGGCCCCATAAGCAAGTTCTCCGTGCACATTACAGTGAATAATTCCTGAAGCGGGACAGCTCAGGGTTTCCGTGAGAATCAGGTCAGTGTTGCCAAGAGCGGGCACAGGGGGAAGACTGTTTAAATGTTAAATGTTAATATTATTGAATTTTATCTGGCCAGGGCGGCTTATTTTATATTGTATGGTTGTATTTTATTCTTATGTTTACATTTTAATTTATGATTTTAATTATTTAATTTATTGTTGTAAGCCGCCCCGAGGCTTCGGTGAATGGGGCGGCATAAAAATGTTTTAATAAGTAAATAAATAAGACTAGCACAACCTTCCCTGATCAGTAATGAACCTGGTAGATTCTTGAGGTTGAAGCGTGTACCCCCTCCTTGGTTCTCAGAGTTAGTCAAATAGTGGGGCCTGCACAGCGGCATCCAGTTCTAGAGAACGTGCTGCGTTTTGACGACCGGCACAATCGGCAGCCGAAGGAACAAGCCCTGATACTTTCAAAAAGCCACCAGGACAAACTCTCTGGCCAGCAAAGCACTTGGGATCGGATTGTTCACCCTCCGGGCTCAAGCGGGCTGTCCAAACCTAGCGTGAGTTTCTCGGCTGCAACCTGTGGAGTGGCGCAGGCCCCGCTCGGCACCTGCTCTACGGCAGAGCCGTGGCCGTGGGACGCATCTCCAGGGAAACCTCCTGGCTCGCCCGCCTCCTCTGCAGTCATTAGCTTCTACCCACCAAACCTTTCCTCTGAATTATTCTCACCATTCTTCCGTGCAAGACATCTGCCATATTGTGATATTTGACTTATTTCTTGTGCTGTGTCATCTTTTTAAAAGGACATAGACACACGCACATGATACAGGAGTTTTGGAACATTCCTTCACACGTGCCCGCCAGCAACGGCCCCTCCGGAGGAGAGAAGGGCGACAGCAGAGCTCCATCAGCTCAACTGAGAGCCCAGCCAGCCAGAGCAACTCTTCTCCTTAAACTGTTTCTACTTCAGTTCATTATCGTAAGACCTTTGTAACGAGGAGCTTGAGCCCAGGTCAGTCCCCCCCACCCCAGCCTCTTTCCCTTCTCTGTCGTCTCTTTCCCATGGATGCCCCGTGGCCTTCTTGCCTCAGCTCAGGAGGCACCAGCGACACGGCCATTCTGGGGCTTTCATCTTAGCTGGCTGCATGCCGGTGAACGAAGAATTTTGGGGGGGGGGGGCAGAAAGCAGGATCGGGATGCCTGGGAGTTGCACACGGCCGGCAGGCTGCCAGCCGCTGACGGTGGAGATGCAACGTCTCAGGGCAGACTCCTCGGCAAGAGAGGAAAATCAGGCCAATCATCCGGGTGAGGGAAAAGGAGATGGTGCCGAGTTCCTCTTACCTGCGTAGAACTTCCGGATGTACTCCTTGTTCCCCAGCAGAGGCTTCAGCTGAGCCGACAGGCAGTGGAACTGCAGGCTGTGCTGCAGCCAGCGCTCCGCAAGGGCTCGCCCGCTGGCGCTCTCGGCGCTCTGCTGCCCGTCCTCGTGCAGATCGATAAACTGGAAGGCAGACGGCACTTTCAGGAAAAGGCAGTCTGGGAGCCAGAGGTCACCGACTGCGGCATCGCGGAGCATCCCGGAGGAAAGGCCCCTCCCAGCTGCTTGCCATTTATCACCCTCCGAAAGCACTGATGGGGCTTCTGTATGTGAAGCCGTGCGGGCAAGTCTCTTTCCCTCTGCTTCAGCTTCCTGCCATCAAAACAGGGAAAATGAGGGCTTCGCAAGGCTGATGGAGCAGAGATGAGCTGCTTGCTCCTGGGACGGAGCCGGTGCCACCAGCTCTTGACGGATGGCACCCTCTGGCCTGCTCAGCCCTGGTGAGGGGGACTGCTGCAGCATCGCCAGCATACGGCAAGGAATGTCCCGGGCCTGACCGAGCAGAGGGCTACATGTTCTGCGAAAGCCAGGGATCCGAAGCCCACCCCGAACATGCACCCACCCCCCGATCTGGTAGCAGGACTCAAGCCGCAGTGGGCTTCCAAAGGATGCAGTCACTGAGCCACCCCCTCATCCTGGCTTTGGAGGGCACTGCACGGACACTGGCTAGAAAGCGGCTTAACTGCAGAATGGGCACCACTCTTCCACCCCATAATAGCTTTCTGGGCAGGCTGGCTCACTGGTCGGAGCCATACAAGGGTCCTGGCACTGCACAAGGACCCTTGCACTTGGCCTTGCGCCCCTTTTGGGTGCAGCATTCCCCTTCCCACAACAACGAGGGCTGCCTCCAGCTCGTGCCCAGAAACACGCGGCTCACGCTCTCAGCGTTCTCCCCCAAAATGAGGAGAGAGATGGCAGCAAAGGCTGTCAGCGTGGTGTTCCCCGAATCTCGCCTCTGCAGCTGCTTGCTTTCCCCACTGGCCTGCGACCCCCACCCACTGCCGGCGAGAGCCACGGTTCAGAAGGAACAACAGAAGCAAAGCCCCGCTGGATCTGGATGGTCCAGCACTCCATCCACACGGGGGCAAACCAGCTGCCCACAAGGTCCCAGCAGCAGGATGGGGGCAAGGCCTCTGCCAGCCCAAGCTCGTCCGCAACTGGTACAGGCAGGCAAGCCTCCTCTTCCCTCCACGCTACACGCCGACTGCCTTCGGACAAACCCTGCAGAGTGCGACCTTCACGCCCTCGTTAAAGGTTAAAGCACCAGGGAGCGGCGACCTCTGCGCCGCATGCCGACAATGGTCAGGCTGACCCTGCCACTGACATCACCGCCCTCCTCCCCCGGCCCCTCCACACATGGGCCTCCCTTCCCTCCAAGGCAGCAGCTCACCTCCTTGACGTGCAGAGCAGCATGTGGGTTCAGACAACGGATGTCCTTCACAAACTGCCAGTAATCCCTCTGCCGGCAGCACACCTGCCCAGAAAACAGAAACCGCTGGCATTCCCCAGGCAACAGCAGCTCAGCAAGCGAGCGCTCGGCGGCCAGCCGGGGAGGGGAGTGCAGCGATGGGTGCACGCACGCAGACGCGCACAGAGGCCGAGCGAAGGCAGGCCTCAAAAAGGGAAGGAAATGAACTCCTGTACGGGGCTGCGGAACACAGACTACAGGCCAGAGCTTGCCAGGTGTGACTTCTGTGTGACTCTGTTAATTGCAGCAGCAAGAAAGAGTAATCCGGCTCCCACCTGCCTCTCCCCAGATGGAAGTCAGACACGACTTAAGCCAAGAATCCAAAGGAAGCTGCCATAGGCATTCCTGGAACCATCTGAATGCAAAGCTGCAGGCGATTCATAATTTATGCAAAATGGATTTAAGTTTCCTTAAAAGCAGATCAATTGGCAGAATCCATTTAGATAGAATTTACGGTATTTTGGCAGCAAGAAGGAAAAACAGGCCGAAGAGGCGTGCAATAGCAGAGTCACTGTTCCAGAGTCCTTGTTTTGTTTTATATATGCTGTACACACAAACTGACATGTACAGGGATAAGTGGTTGTCAAATGCATGAAGATAACATGCCACCAGAATGGACAGTACAACAAAAATGCCTCATTTGTTTTATAACAAAACACAGATTACATCCTCCTTTGCCCATGAGTCTAACATACGTGGGAAGAAGAATCGCATGCGCTAGAAAGACAGCAGCCAAACCTTGGTGTTTTATAGAGAGCACGTAAATCTATCCTAAGAGTAAAGATTTGCTCCAGGGAAAAGGATGCAGCACCTCCCACACCTGAACACCAAAAAGGCCCAAGATGCGCACTGTCAAGCACCTATCCAACATCCATAAAAGTTACTTAGGGTGTAAGTGACCCTGGTTATTTAATCATTTTTAAAAATCCAAGCCAAAGGTGATGCTTTGCTGTCACTTCGTTATGGTGCCAATGTCCTCAGGCACCAGGCTACATTTTATTCACATCCAGCCCTTCCCAATTAAATTAAAATGTCCAAGACAGCTAGTATTCCTTAAAAACAATGGACAATGATGTGAATGGAGGTGCTGGGAGAGACAACCGGGCCAAATTCCAGGTACTTTAACAAAAATGCTGAAAGAGCGCAGAGATACTAAACAGCTGGAGTTTTAAACAAGAATATATTTGCAAATGCATTCAAGGAAACACCCACAACCAAATAGGCTCTTTGAAGAGGGAGTCGATTCGGCACATTTCTCAGAGAATGCGGAATTCAGATCAACACATGCCTGGCCCGGCCCAAACCCTACAGGCTCTCCAGGTAAGCCTCAGAAGCTGTACTAAACAGTTTGTTTATTCTGCTTTTCTCTTCCGAAAGGAGTAGAAGCAGCTACAAAATACAAGGACATAAAAGCAATCCAGTGAAACACAACTGTCAAATTAAAAAGCAGCAACACAGACCAATGCAAAGAGAGAGGGAGAAACATCAGGGCAGAGACTAAGATGAAGACCTCTTGGGCTGAGAGCACTTAGCTCCTCAACCTCTTGGGCTGGGGGCACTTAAAGGGGCAACAACGGCTGGTCTTAGGGACAGACAGACTCACAGAAGGGGAGGTGGTCTTTCAAGTACTTAGCCATGCAGGTCCCAAACTGCCCTGGGCTTTAAGGCATCATGGACCGCTCTTGGAAATTCGCTGGCAGCCAGCGCAGCGGATGTAACGCAAGGCTCACCTGGCCCAGCCCTTTGCCCCTAGGTCTTAGCAGCCGCGTTCTGCACTCCATGATGCTTCCAGGTGTGCCCGTTACCCACTTAAGATACAACGGATGCATACAGGGCTACAGGGAGATCTGTCTGTCCCAGGAACAGGCCACTGATGCAAAAGCTGAACCAGTGCAAAGGTATTCCTAGACACAAACAATGCCTTATATTTGATGATCTTTCCTCAGTCCTTCAAGTAGCACCTTCTTCACCTTTCTGGCTGCAGTCTCCCTTTGAATTGATAATTGACCCAAGATATATATATCTTTCACAATTCCAATTTCTTTGTTGTTGACAATAAAGTTATGCAATTCTTCTGCAATAATGATTTTTGTTTTCTCAATGTTCAGCTGCAGTCCTCCCACTGCACTTTCTTCTTTCACTTTTATCAGGAGTCACTTCAGTTCGTTGTTGCTTTCTACCGATAATGGGTTATCATCTGCATAACTTAAATTACTGAAGCATCCTCCTCCAGTTTTCTCTCCTTCCTCTGCTCCTGATTCAGCTCTCCTTGAGATATGTTCTTCTTACAGCTGAAGAGATAGACAAGGATGTCTTTTATTTGCCTAACACCTTTGCCTACAGGAAACCATTCTGTTTCTCCATATTCTGTACTCACAATAGCTTCCCTTCCACAATGCAGGCCAGACACATCAGGACAATCAAGTGCTGAAGCGGCCCCGCTTCTTTCAGAACTATCCATAGTTTCTCATGAACCATGCTGTCAAAGGCTTTGCTATTGTCTGTTGATAAAGCAGAGACTGATCTTCTTCTGAAATTATTGGGTGTGCACCAGTAGCTAACGTATATTTGTGGGGTGACCTCCCACGGCTCTACCTTTTCAGAATCCAACTTCAATGCTGAGCATTTCTTAGTGCATATATGGTGGTAGATTGCATGGGAAATTAGTATGCCAGCCCCTAGCATTTCCTATCTTGGGAATAGGAATATACATCAAGCATTTCCAGTGTGTGACCTATTGCTTTGCTTTCTTCATTTACTGGCACATACAGGGTAGGATTTGGACCGATTCAGCCTCTGCAGCTTGGAATGGTTCTACTGGAACCCTCTACCCTGGGGGCTTTATGCCTTCCAAGTGCTTTCAGAGCAGCTTTCACTTCTCTTCCTCATAGGATTCCTTTTTTGAACAAGCCTATTCGCCTTTTATCTCTTCTGCACAGTTCTTCCATATTCTGTTTCCACCATTTTTTTTATCTTATTTATTTATTTATTATTTAAAACATTTTTATGCCACCCCCATCGCAACAAAGTCTCAGGGCGGCTCACAAAAAAAACAAAATACATAAATATAACAATTAAACAGTAAAAATATGAAAACCCGGTGCATCTCGGCTTAAAAGATTTAAAATCCTATAAATACAAATAAATTAACAATTAAAATGAGTTTCAAATAAAAAGGTCTTAGCCTGGTGCCGAAAAACAAATAACGACAGCGCCAGGCTGTCAGATAGTTGCTTTCCCTGAATGTCTTTCAACATTCCTAATTCTGGTTTGAATTTCCCTTGGATTTCATAGATTTTTGGGAAAGTTCTCAAGTTTTTCTTTTTGTTGTCCTCTTCTATTTCTTTGCACGATCCAATAGTTCTTATCGATCTGTGATAGTCGCAGAAAAGCTGTATTCGAGAATCAAGAATCTGATCCTTGTTCTGTCACCTTTTAGTCTGCTTTTCACCTGCCTTTAAACATTGTGTGTTTTTCCTGTCATCCATCATCTTAAAATGGGTGGCCGCTGCAGCTCGCTCACTCACTCGCTCGCTCACTGTACCTGCCTGGCCAGCTGCTCCTTCACCTGCTCACGGAGGCAGAGCAGATGGTGCCCTGCTCTTGTTCGCTTGATTGTCTGCACCTCATGCTGCAGCCACAGGCTCCACTGGCCACCAGGAAGAGACCAGTTGGCTGTTCATGTGGGAAGGCTGCCCTAGGCAGTGGGTGAGCAGGAGGTGACAAGACACACCAGGCCAAGCCAGGAAACATTCTCTGAAGCATCACCAGTGTGGAAGAGGACACGGACTTGACCGGATGTCTGGTCACACCTGCGTAGACTTTGGTAAGATCATGGCCAGATCTCTGCACAGAAGGGTCTTCTCATCACTGGGAAGTCGAATGGAGCACAGCTGTTCCTGAACACACACCAAGTACTTCTGCTGGCAGGAATGGTGTTGGGAAAGCTTTCTTAGTAATGGGATGGCATAGAAAAACTTTAAATAAAAAGAGAGAGTGGGTGAAGCTGAATGAAATAAAGATTAAGCAATGGACAAGGAATGACAGAGGGGCAGAGATGAGAACGGTGGGGGCCCCAAAGAACAGGGCTTAGGAAAGACCCCCTCACACCGCCTAGGCCAGTCCTCCTCAACCTGGTGCCCCCCAGGTGTTCTAAACCACAACTCCCATTGTCTTTGAAAACGGGCCATGTCGACGGGCGAATGAGAGTTGTGGCCAGAACTTCTGAAGGACGCCTGACTGGAAGAGGCTGGCCTAGAGAGGCGGAAAGGGCTGCATGCAGGTAGGTGTTCCCTTTCCTGCAGGTGAGGAGGCTGCTGGAGGCGGAGAAAGATAGGTGCTTGCCTACAGTCACTGTGGCTGAGATTTTAATCAGCAGACACCTGGATTGTAGCTTGCGCCAAACAAATACACGATGCCTTCGCTTTCTCCTCTGACAGCCACCTGCTAGCTGGCCCCGGCCCCAGCCCCAGCCCCAGCCCTACCTCACTCGCCCTGCAAGCCTTGTTCTAGGGCCGCATTCTCTTATTAACATTTCTAGCTCTTTCAAGACATGCCCTCCGAGGCGGCGGCAGAGCTGGGTTAGAGCAGGACTGGGCAATCCGGGCCCTCCGGCTGTTGCTGGATGCAGCTTCCACAATCCGGCAATACCTGGAGGGCTGCACCTGGCCCAGATGATCAAGGCGTCTCTTTCCGCCACACAAGGTCATGACCTTCCCAAATGAAAAGTAATCAGGCGTCCCCTCCCGGACCAGGCCTGGTCCAGCGGGCGCCCGAAAGACACCCTACCTTGTCCGGGATGAGTCCGTGATGCAGGATGCTGTGCATGTCCCTGCAGAGCCGCTCCAGGCCTCCATACTTAGACCAGACATTGGGGTTGTTGATCGAGACCAAGCCCTCCACGGTCGTCTTCAGGTTGCCCAGCAGCTTCCAGTGCTCCTTCCTGAAAGGGGCGACAAGCATTCGGCAAAGCACCGGTTACGCGGGGCAGGAGGAGGTCTCCTCACTGTAGTTCTTGTGCCAAGAACAGCACCCTATGCTGAGTACAGCCGTACCCACGCACTTTCGGCAGGATCCCCACCCAGACCGCACCATCCAGCCACTCTGGAAGGGGTGCCAGTCTGGACAGCCTCTGCATCACCAAAGCGGCTGGTGCTGCTTGAAGTAAGATGAGTGAGAGGGATGGATTTCTGCCCCAAGGGGCTTATAATCCCTTTCCTCACAGCAGAGGAGGGGAAAAGGAGTGGTGGAGGCTCCAGGCAGCCTCTCCTCAGCATGGTGCCAGCACTCTGCAGCACACCTGGAGCTGGGGTCCAACGCACCTGGAGGACACTGGGTTGGGGGAAGGCTTCTTGAAGGGGGAATCATGCACGGGTCCAAGTTCAGGGTTTTTACCTCCTGCAGCTGGGTTTGCACTACTCCTTTTTAACTCTTATGTGAGCAGCCTTAAACACCACAGCCGGGTGGAAAGGCAGCACTAAAAAGACTTTTAGAAGCCACCATAGGCATTTAGGTTTCCATTTAAGCTGGGAGTTAAACCAAGGAATTAATGGCACACAGAGGGAGGAAGAGGGAGCGGCGGTGCCATGGACGGTATTCTGGGAGGAAGCGGCAGACACGGAAATCAGAGAAGGAAAACGGCTCCAACCGTGGAAGCACAAGATGTCAGGCAGCTCCGGACACTTCAGCTAAAGAGCAAGGGCACTGTAAACCAGAGAGAATAGAAGCGAGGGCTGGTGGGCCCTGAACGAGGCCTATATTTAGAACCTCCTGATTCCCCATCCAACTGAAGAATCTGCTTTGCATATTAAGAACAGACGCGGCACAAAGAACAGAAGATTTCCCTCGGGGAGGACCAGCCTTCAACCTTGCTTCCGAGTGCTCAGAATGGTGGAAGTCTTGGCAAATGCCCAGCCAGCCAGAGGGGAGGCAGCTCTCCCTGCAGAACTACTCTGGAAAAAAGGCATTGCACGAACAGGCATTGTGGGGAAGGCCTGGTTGTGTGTGCTTGTGCGTGTACGAATGACAAGCTAACACACTTTGGATATGTGTGACTCCCTTTCTGCAAGTAGCCGAAGCTGTTTCCGAGCGTGTACCCCAGAGACCGATGGCTTCCTGAGCAGCGCTCTCCTTTTCCTTGCCCTTGGCTACCTCCCCTCCCCTCGCCACGGTGGTACTCTGCCACCTGAGCACATGGCTGTCCCTGCTGGGCTTGACATAAGCAGAAAGAACTCAACCTGGGATACCCTATTCTTTCCAGTTCCTCCTCTGCATTGGTGTCTCCCAGGCAGACCTTGCCCAGCCCTTTCACCTTCATGCTGGGCTGAAAGGAGGAACAAAAATCAGTTTACTGCCAGATTCTCTTCCAATCAACCCTTGCCCCTGATTTCGACCATGCTATCATGTAAATCCTCCAGAGGACATTTCCATTAATCCATTAAAAATAATCCCACAGCAGGAGTAACCTAATACTATAATTAGGGTCACAATTAGGTTAATGTGCATTGGATAGTTCACACTGGAATGTTTTCAGATGCTGCAGACTCTCTGTGGCAGGAACTGGGGCTGCAGGGATTATACATTGATCTAACCTAGCGTGTTTCATCCCTTATTTAATTATTCCTATACCGCCCAATAACTGAAGCTTTCTGGGTGACTTACAGTAGTTCATAAAACACACAATGCAATAAAGTACCATATTTTTCCCAAAGTGCAAAAATTTAAAAACAATTTGAAAACATCTAGAACAACCTATGGTATATAAAATACCTAAGATGAGTTAAGATTATGAATATTCGTGTTTGCTTTGCAATGCTCAGCACAGAAGCATCTTAAATCTGGCATCAAGAGGATGACAAGGTTGGCTGCAGTGAACAAACGCTGCAAAATACCCCACATTATTTTTTCGTTTAACATCCAACAAGTATTTGGCCTAACATATTTGAGGGGCAAAATAAAGCAAATGTAATGTGATTTAATTGTAATATGGCCAATGCACACGTACATTTACTGGAATATTTATAAACCTTTAAAGGCAGCAGTATATATTTCCCTTATTTAAATTTAAGAAAAAACAACCAAAAAAGACTGGAATGTTGACACACTAATAAATTTTTGCAACCCAAAGAGCTGTTTATGATATGCTGAATTTCACTCACCTACAACTCTGAAACTACAAATTTACTGAATGCCATAGTTAAAACTGTCATCCTTTCATTGCTGCTAATGAACTTATGAAATGAAAAACGTTCTGCAGAAAGATAAAGCACTGGAGAACACATCCACTCTGCAATAATGCTTGACTCTCCCCCTTGCCCAGGTGAGGTCTTCCCAATTCTGCTGCCCAGTATCTTTTCGACAAGAGACCCGAATGGCCGAATCAGGGCCCTTCCGTCGCCCCTGAGATATGGCCCCTTTCGCAAACAGACGTGGCCCATGGCAACCCCACTGTGGGTCCCATTGCAGAGGCAACAGGAATGGCGCCCATGACTACCAGCAGGTCTCATGAACCCTGTTCCGCTGTCCCGTCTACTTCTTACAAACTGCAGATTCAGAACATACGAGAAGCTCTGGTGGATCAGGCCCACGCTGCATCTAGTCCAGCCCTCCGGACACATGCTGGCAAACCAGATGCCCACGGGATCCCTCCAGCAGGATGGGTGCAAGACCTCCCCCTGCCCAAGCTCCCCAGCAACCGGCACGCCACCGCTGCTAACGGAGGGAGCGTAGAGCGAGTACGGCTAAGGCGCCACCGAGAGCCTCCTCCTCCAGATTCCCATGAAAAACCCTTTGGATGAGGCACTACATATTTAGACAAATATGAACTCAGTGTAAAGTCAGTCAGATGTTCTGCAGAAACATGGCCAATGAAGTCAGCTGCAATGACTCAGAACACAGAACGGAAGTGTTACCACCAAAGAAAAAGCTCTCTCCCACAACAGTTCCCTTTATGGGAAAGGTAAACTAATTTTTCAGATCTCCAAAACCAAAACAGGGAAGGACAACTTTTTAGATCTGGGGTTTTAGCATTAATGTGGAAAAGGCGTTTCAGCAAGCAAACTTTGGCCCTGCAGCACCGGAACATGACACACTGCGAGGTCCTCTTCTGCACAAAAGTGTAAAAGATGCACTACAACAGAACGGCTGGACGTCTCTTCTGAAGAATGCCACAGTTCTTGGAAACTAAAGCAGCAAGAGAAGATTCTAGCAAGCAAGACCAACCTTAACCAGTTCGCTGGCAAACCATTTCCTCTGCTGATCTTCTAGCTGTAAATGCCATATTTTAATGTTGCTACAAGCAGGGAGCAAGGTGGCTGCTGGGTGTAAGCAAACACAGCGGCACCCTATGAGTAACCCAGGATCCCAGACTTGGAAAATAACTGGAGAGAGCCACACTCTTTCTTCCACTGCAAATGCACCTCAAATGCGTCTCCATATGGTGAGGCAAAGATACATGTTGAACATTTAAAGCGGGGCTGGGAAATGTGTCGTGTGCCCTGTGGCGTCGGAAGTCCCAGGAACTCTAGCAAGCACATCCAATGCTGAGGGAGGGCGGGAGTTGTAGTCCAACAACATCTGGAGGAGCACACTTTTAAAGCTACCGGCTAGGAAGAAGATCTAGCAGCCAGAATTTGTTCCTCCCCTGGTCCTGCAACACGTTCCTGTATGCCACAGCCCCCGATAAGTGAGAGACAGAACCTGTGTAGTGTGATGGCTGGAGTCTGGGACCAAATTTCGTCTCGGCCGTAAAGGATGACCTTGGACAGCTGCTACTTCTGAGCCTAATCCTGTGAGCTTGTTTGCTGAGAGGATAAAGGCAAAGCAGGTACACCGTGTCAGGCAGGACGGAGGTGTAATTAAGAAATAATGAGGGAAGCGGAGCCGTCACTGATACTATAGCGCAGTGCCATGCAGGTCACGGGAAGAACCGCCGCTCCAAGCAGCCATGTGGGTTTCCACGCCACTCCCTTCCACTCACGCATAAGCGGCAGCAACCAACTGCCTTGCGCTCCCAAGGCCCGAAAAGGAGGACAGCCTGCCAACTGTGCAAAAGAAGGGAAGGCGACAGATTCATTCCTTTGCCCAGGAGTGCACCATTTCTTGCTTGTTGTTATCATGATGTTGCAAAGAAAAGAAAAATGCACCATGAGGGACAGATCTAGTGCCCGGGCTGCAGAAACAGTCTGTGTGGATTTTAAACGTTTGGGTGTTTTAGCAATGCATTTGAGATGAGAAGAAAATGGAAAGACTCATCCTTCCTGTCTTTTACTGGAGAGTACAGACCCTGCACTTAACTCTCCACTAAGTGAATTCTCAGAACAACTTCCTGCCTGCACATCCAGATTCATGCACTGGAATCTAGGGGCTCTCCAGAAGCTTAGCAGGGGCTCCCTAACGGAAATGCCTCTGAAAACAAGGAAGGTGCTGCTTGACAGCAGGAAGAGAACGTCTGTTGTGAGCTGGAGGCTTCCTCCCTCTGCACATTCAGGGCAACGCACCATCCTTTTGCAAAAAGCTCTTTATTCGCCAAAACATGCCCGATCAACTCAACCACCATAGAATGTGTCTCTGAACATGCGCAGAGCGTGTCAGGAGCGGGGGTGCCAGAGCCAGAGCAAGCACCACTATTTTTGCAGGATCAGTCCCAAGCCCTGCTGCAGCTCCCCGAGTGTGGAGGAGCACCCGCTGCGAGTCCCGGAGGAAGAGCCGCATGAGCAGAGCTCCTGCCCTGTGCCCTGCCCTGCCTTGCCATATTGCCCCAGCCCCACAGGGCTGCCGGTGTGTCGGGTCTGCACCTTGTTCCTGCCCTGGCCCTCCATGCTGCCTCGCTGCTGTGGCTGCCCCTCGCCTGACCGGCAGCCTGCCTTGCTGTCTTGCCTCAGGAGCAGAGGGCTTCCTGCTTGCTGTGGTTCGGCTCCCGCCTCCTGCCCGACCCTCGCTGCA